CAGTTTTTCAGCACTCTCGCAGCAAGGTGGTGCCATGTGAATTATTTGGCTCATGGACTTTGAGTGGAAGCAACAGCTCACTTCTGAGCAGAAGCATTTGAAAACCAGTGCATGACCCTTCTGATCTCTTCTCCCTTCCTCAGTGAGTTGGAAGCTACTGGCTGAAGTGATTGCCTTCCAAGATGGGACTAATCACTGGGACTTGAGGTGGATGAGAGGGCTTACCCAACACAGGAATATTTGCAAGAGAGAAATTGATCTTTATCATATAAGCTGCTAACATTTACAGGGTAATTTATGACTGCAGCAGAACCTAGCATTATCCTGACTGACACACCCCCTAAGACAACAACAATCAAAATGCTTTCCCTGGAGTCTGCTTCTCTTCCAAGGTCCTCCTTATTTTTCTTCACCATATTGTCGTTTTTCTCTCTATTGTTGGGTCACTCAAGCATGGTCTAAATGTATATCTGCTGCTTTCCTTCCGCCTCCACCAACTATTCCTCAGTCTGGGGTCCCTGACCCACTACCTTACTGAATTATTCTCTCTAAGGCTCCCAGTGATGCCCAGAACCGCAATTCAGCAGTGACTTTACATCTGCCATTCGGGTAACATGAGAGCTGACAGTTCTGTTCTTCTTGGACCCTGGTGCCTTCTGAGGCTCTTCATTACCTGGGTTTTGCTCCTGCCCCACCAATTGTCTTTTCCAAAAAATTTTTCCTGGAGTGTAGTTGATTTACAATGTTGTGTTAGCTTCAGCTGTGCAGCAGAGTGAGTCAGTCATACTTGTATATGTATCCATGTATCCACTCTTTTTTTGTTTTTAAGATTTTTTTCCCCATATAGGCCATTACAGAATATTGGGTAGAGTTCCCTGTGCTATACAGTAGGCTCTTATTTGTATCTATTTTATATATATATGTGGGTGTGTATGTGTTAATCCCATTCTACCAATTTACCCTGCCCCTCTTTATCCTCTGGTAACTATGAGTTTGTTGTCTATGTTTGTGACTCTACTTCTGTTTTGTAAGTTCATTTGTACCTTTTTTTAAAAAAAGATTCATTTATAAATGATGTCGTATGCATGTAATATTTGTCTTCCTGTGTCTGACTTACTTTACTCAGTGTGACAGTTGCTAGGTTTCTGCGAATGGCATTATCTTGTTCCTTTTTATGGCTGAGTAATATTCCCCCACTGATGATCTTTTCTAGGCTGCTTTGTTGGCTGCCTCATCTTCCTGCCCCTAAACGGAGCCCTTCCGAGGCCCAGCCTCCAGCCCTCTGCGTTCCCTGCACTCTCTTTCTTGGTGATCTCACTCAAGCTGTGACCTTGATTTCCTGTCCATGAGTGTGACTCCCAAATCTACTTATGCTCTCTGCTCTGAGTGTCAGGCTGAAACAGTGGACACCATGAGCTCTTCCTGAGCTCCAGGACCACATTTCTGACCCTTGGGGTGTCTGCAAACTTTAAGTATCTGAAACCAAACCCGCCTACTTGCTCGTTTCCTCCAGCAGGAAGCCTGATCCCTCATCCTCCATGTGACATAGTTTGTTTGTTCTTACAGCTGCCCAGGCTCAACTTCTGGGGCCCTGTTCCATCTACACATACATCTAGGCCATTCTCAGTTCTGGAAGATGCTATTTCTTCCTCCTCTTTCCCCTGCCCTTGGCCACTCTAAAGAGTGTTGAGGCTTGCTGGCTTGCCTTGGCAATTCTGCACATCCTCCTCTCTGGACACCCTGCCCTTTCTCCTCCAGCCTCCTCCGTCTCCTGTCTGGCCAAACGTCCTCAGGCTCAGGCTGCCCCTTCACCCTCAGTGCCTCCCTGGTGCCTCTGAGTCAGTTCTGAGCTCCTCAGCTTCCCTGTGGGGGCCTTGCACTTGAAGACCTTCTCAATCTTATTTTCTCCCAGTTCATAACTCTCTTAAACCAGGAAGAATTGTTTATTTCTTGTTCTCCAAACATTCCCAGTTTAGAGAGTTACAAAAGAGGGTTACACAGGAGAGTCACAAAAGAAAATGCTCTAAAGATCAAAAGAGGGAACAAAGACTAAAGTGGAGGGTGGGGGAAATTATTATTTTTTAACATTTATTTATTTGGCTGTACCGGGTCTTAGTTGCAGCACGTGGGATCATCGATCTTTGTTGTGGCAGGTGGGATCTTTAGCTAGGCCATGTGAGATCTTTAGTTGCACCATGTGAGATCTCTTTTTTTTTTTTAGTTTCGGCACGGGAGGTCTAGTTGCCTGACCAGAGGTCCAAAGGGGAGCCCCTGACTGGGGACCATGGAGTCTTATTAGTCCTTGGGAAGTTCCCTCCACCCTCCACCTTAGTCTTTACTCTCTCTTCTCCCTCTTTTGCATCCTCAGAGCATTTTCTTTTGAAACTCTCCTATAAGCTGGAGCAGAAAACACTTCTTTTCTTGCTACTGTCTTAACCATATGACATTGTGCTGCTTTGCCTCCCAGCCAGGTGGTTTTTCTTAACACTAGACCACATGATATTTTTAGAAACTGTGTTTGTTATGGCTCCCTTTCAGGCAGGGGCACTCATATCATGCTTGTACTTTCGGTCATAAGTTTGACCCTCATTTCAAGTGGGCAATTACCAACAAAGCCAGTGGCTGGACTTTCCTGGGCCCCGTTTCTGTGAACACTTCCCGAGGAGGTGGTCTTTTTTTTCTGCTCTCCTGAGCTATACACAGCTACAAGCAAAACCTGGCTGCTTTGCATGTACTCGGGGGCCTCTCAGTCAGGTGGTGGTTCAGGAATATTTCAGCTAGGCTCATCCGTGTGAAACCCACCTCGCCCTCCAAGCCACACGGGAGGCCAGGCTGGTGTGTAAAAGGGAATTCAGTCCAGACGGGGCTTTCCATGTTCTTGTGAGACCCACAGCTCCCTGCCTGAGAGGGGAGCTCAGAGAGCCTATCTTACATCAGAGCCAAAAGCCCAGGCAGGAACTGAAAGAGGACATGAAATCTGGAGGCTGAAATGCCGGGCGGGGGGGACGTCAGGAGCTATCTGAGCAGTGGATTGTGGGGGAGATAAATGAGGAGTCCCTTCTGCGGTGGCCGGGGTGGCTGCTGGCAGATTGGGCTCCAGCTCTGATGCCCACCTCTCTGTGGTTTCCTGGGCACAGTGCAAGGGGGGACTCCTCACTGACGTGGAGCATCTTATCATCCAGATGCAGACACACACACAGCGGACCAAAGTTTCTTCATCTCTCAGTGCTTCACATACCCAACGATGACTCGGCGGGAAGGGGGGCGGGTGAGGGGTGGGAGCGTTGTCTTCAGAGCCTCTGAGCGCACAGTAGGGCAGCCGGAAGTGGTGTGCCACAGTGGGGGTGGGGGGACCGAAGAATGTGCTCTCCTGAGCCCTTGCTCTAGAGCCCTGGAGCCACAGCAAGAGGAGCCGGAGCACTGCAGCGAAGAGTCACAGGCAGAGAAAGCCCGCGCAGCAACGAAGACCCAGCACAGCCAAAAGAAATACACACGCAATTTTAAAAATAAAAATTAAAAAAACACACGGCCAAAGCACAGCCAGCAGCAGGCCAGCTGGCTGGTGACAGCTGCTTCAGTTCCATCCTCTCACTTCACAGACTGCGGCTCAGAGAGGGTAAGGGGCCATATCTGAGGTCACAGCCAGTTTTGGGGGGAGATAAAAACTCAAATCCAGGTTCCTTGGTGGCCACGCAGTGGCTCTTTCCACTCAATCTCTCCACCTCTTGGTTTGAGGCAAGATTGAAATTCCTGGGAGACTTTTTAAAAGATTAAAGAAGACAGGTTCTCTGTGCATCTTCAAGCACATGTTAAGAGAAGCAAGGGAAAAAGTAAGTGACCCCTGTAAACGACCATGTAGAAATCTGGCACTATGACCTACAAGACCAGTGGAAACTCAGAGAAAAGTTTAATCCAGGGTTGAAAAAACAATATAGTTAGTTTTTCCAACACACTCAGCAGAGTTGAGAAACAGCCTGTTCCAAAACAAATAAATTCTGTTGACTGAGTAAATGTATTTTTTAATTCATTTCATTGTTTTTGACCTCACTGTTAACTCAAAGCTTTTTTTTTTTTTAAACAAAGCTATTATCATTGTTCAAAATTTAGATTCCAACATGGTGAAGTGTTTTATTTAAATTCCCGAAGTCAAAGCATTCTCTGTTCTTGGATCAGAGTCTCCTTGAGGTCAGAAGAGGGACAACCATTTGCCAGGAAGTGGTTTTCCATGTGGCTCTAGAAAGGCTTTGCCTAATCTGGAGTGGGAGTTGGTCCCAGGCCATTGAATGGCCCAAAGGCAGCCCCCTCTCCCTCCTCCAAGTGCTCAGCCAGAAGCTCTGTCTTTCTCAGCAAAGGATAAGGATTGTTTTGTGACACTTTCATTTCACTGTATTTGTTCCCAGTCTCAATGTCAAATAGATTTCTTACCATAGGTTGCCATCTAGAAAAGTTTGAAATTCCCGGTTTACCAAAGAACCAAAGCACTTTAGACACATTATTGAAAGTGAAGGAAGTGAGAGGCAGTTAAATAAATTTGCATTATTATGGAGGCTCAAGGGGCCCTGTATTCCTCCTGTAAGGGCTGCAGGTGCCTGTGGGGTGCCCACTTGCCTGACATTGGAAGGGGGAGGCGTGTTTAGGGGGTGCTCCCAGGAAAGGTCCGTAGAAACTGCCAAGATTCACATCCAGCGGTCTGACTCAAATTTGTACACAAATCAAAGACTGAAATCTTAATTTGTTGTAATCAAGAGCAAAAGAAAACTTAAAAGGGATATGGACCCACCAGATAGAGCAGACAACTCTATCTGCTACTTCTTTAGCCCATAAAAACAAAACACACAGAGCACACGCCCGATGGGAGTGGGGTCCAGCAGATGTTTGAAAATCTACCAACTTCCATCAGATCATCAGATGCTACATGTGACAGGGTATGCCTTCTGTGCCCGTGGACAGGTGGGCGTCCCCTGCGCTCAGGCTTTGGGCAGGTACAGCCAAGCCCGAAGCTACTGGCAGTAAAAGGTGAGCACGTTCTCCTGGTTTCCTCGGATCAGGATGACAGGAGGTCTGAGGTCCTGGGACAGCGTCTCCAGCCAGGCCATGTAGAGTGAGCTCGGGCACTTCCCCTTCCTCCCTATGGGCAGGGTGCTGTGGGGCAGGAAGAAGCAGCAGATGGGAAATTAACCAGGGGTCTTCCCCACATGGCCCAGCTCCTGGTCTGCTTCCTGAACAGGATCTCTGTTTATTGGCCCCTTCAGCGCTCCTTCTTCCCAGCCACCCTAAGAATGACCTGTGGCTCTTCTTGAAAGCGTGACTTGAAATGTAACTTCAGCCACAAAGCATTTCTAAATAAAGCCTTGGCATGTGAGGGCCCTGTGATCCTGGCCCCACCAGCCTCCACAACCTCCCCTCCCACCGCCCTCAGGCTCCCTCACACTCCTATAGCTAGGCTTCCTTTCCACTCCTGAAATAAATGGACAGCTTGTTCCTGCCCCAGGGCCTTGGCACATGACATTCTTTCCACGCAGATGGCAGAGCCAGCCCCCAGCTCTTCAGCTTGGCTCCCTCAGGTCTTGGCCCAAGTGCACCTCCTTCTCAGATCACCCTCTTCAATCCCATCTCTCTTTATCATGTCACCCTGTTTCATTATCTTTGTAACACTTCACACTGTCAAATCCTCTTCTCATTTATTTGTTTGTTGTCTGTCTTCCCCCACTAGAATGTTTGTTCGCTCATGAGCAGGCAGGGTCTGTCTTATTCTCTGTGGAGAACACAGTCTGACAAGGCGAGGCTCACGATCCCACTCCTGCAGCCACTCCGATCACACCAGCCTCGCCTCTCTAGCCACACCCCTGCCTGGGGCCCCAGCAAAGTGATATGTTCATGAGTTTCAGCTGAGCAGCCTAGTCCTGGCTCCTGCCCCAGATGTAAGGCCTTGGGAGCAGGACTCTGCCGTCTCCCTGAACTGTCTTGTCAGAACTGCTATGCTGAGCAAATAACCACATGCCCTGGGAAGGCTCTTCAGCCACATTTTCATGGCTATTTCAGGAAGCGACTTTTCCACCATCTTGAGATTCCAAAGACGCCTGGCGATGACTGCCACCGCCCTGCTCGCGGCTCTTGCGGGAAGGCGGCATCACACCAACCCGGCTGGCGTTGCACAAAGTTGGGGCACCAGCACGTTACTTGGGCCTGAACCTTGTTTGTTTTCCCAAAGTACACCCACAGGTACGGTTTCATCTGAACCTCAAAACTACCGGGGGAAAAGCGGAGGGAACCGGCCAGAGAGGAGGATGCTGTGCAATGCTGGGCTTCAGAGGCTGACTCTGGGTCAGAGAAGCTGCTAGAGTCATGGCTCTGCCACTTCCTCGGCCATGTAACTATGACAAATGGCTCGCTGACCCTGAGCCTCAGTTTTTGTTTCCCCAATGTGAACACACATGCCTCTGCCATGGACTTGTGAGTTCTAAAGAAGCCCTAGCTCATGAAGGGTACTGCACAAAAACACTGGCACAGAATGAGCACTTTGTAACGTCAGCAGTATTGTCACCGCCTATTACTATTTACGAGCTCGAGATGACCCAGCCAGTGAATGGCAGAGCTGGGGCTTGACCACGATCCCAGCTCACTGCAACCCCTCCTTTGCTGAGAATCGAGGTCCCCAAACAGCTGTCCCTTTTTTAAAAATTCCCTTCTCAAAGCTTCATTTGGGACAAACAGTATCCTTCCTTATAAAGCAAGGACCCCACGATCGGGGAACCCCACGTGAACAAGGACATTCCATTAAGCCAGTGTCACCTTACTTAAGAGACTGAGTTTGTGTTTTTCTGGTGGCTTTCCCAAGAAAAGGGAAGTGGGAATATTGAAACCAAACTTTCCTGCTTTGACAGTTACACTAAAGGCTAGAAATGCCCACTGGTTACTACTCATTGGAAAAGACCCTGATGCTGGGAAAGATTGAAGGTGGGAGGAGAAGGGGATGACAGAAGATGAGATGGTTGGATGGCATCACCGACTTGATGGACATGAGTTTGAGTAGACTCCCGGAGTTGGTGACGGACAGGGAAGCCTGGTTGCTGCAGTCCATGAGGTCACAAAGAATCGGACACAACCGAGTAACTGAAATTTGCTGAACTACTAGTATTATACATCCTTTTCAGGGGCTGCAATTAGAAATGTCAAAGACTTGAGGAGGGGGCAGGGGACCTCCGTCACTCCTGCTGTGGCTTTTCAAGCCCCAACATGAAGTTCTCTCCCAAAGCAGAGCCTGTCCATCTGTCTGCCTGTCTGAAGGACAGACTCCCTTGGCACTCTCCCCCAGTGCCAGCGAACAACATGCTCTGTTTCTACCCATAAGATGTGTGTGGTGTAAGCTACTAATCTTTAGAAATCAAGCTGCTCCAGAACAAAGGAGCTTTTTGCTCAGAACTGCATCGCTTAGCTACAAGGAAAGGCAGCCTTGGATCTAACCTAGATGCGGAAAGATAATTGAGCTTCAGAACCAGTGTCTTGGGCTTTAAACCCGTCACCACCTGGCAGGTTCTGAATTTCTCTGAGACTCAGCTTCCTCATCTCCTAAAGGTGTGTGCTGCGGTGGCGATAGGGGTAAAGCAGAATCACTTCATAGAGTTCTGAAAACTAATAAGGCCCAGTGGATTAGGAGTTTGGGATTAGCAGATGCAAACCATTATGTATAGGGTGGATAAACAACAAGGTCTTACTGTGTAGCACAGGGAACTATATTCAATATCCTCAGATAAACCATAATGGGAAATAATATGAAAAATAATGTATATATATGCATAACTGAATCACTTTGCTATACAGCAGAAATTAACATAGCATTATAAATCAACTATACTTTAATAAAATAAATTTTTAAAAAATTAGGAGTTCCCTTGTGGTCCAGTGGTTAAGACTCCATGCTCCCAATGCAAGGGGCGCAGACTGAATCCCTGGTGGTAAACTAAGATTTCACATGCTGCTCTGTATGGCCAAAAAATAAATGAAAAAAAAATTTTTTTAATTAATAAAGCCCAATGCCTTGAGTGTCATAGAGGCACTCAATAAAATTCAATTTGATTGCTATTATTTCGACTATTACTATTTGTCTTTGGTGGCTTCCAGGTGCCACTAGTGGTAAAGAATGTGCCTGCCAAAACAGGAGACATAGGAATCATGGGTTTGATCCCTGGGTTGGGAAGATCCCTTGGAATAGGAAATGGCAACCCACTCCAGTATTTTTGCCTGGAAAATTCCATGGACAGAGGAGTCTGGTGGGCTACAGTTCATGGGGTTGCAAAGAGTTGGACACAACTGAAGCGACTTAGCACACATGCATTTAGCTTTGAGGAGGGAGTCTATAGGAAAAAAAGAGGGGTCTAGACCCAAAAGTTATGCCCCAAATATGTGCTTAGTGTGGTCAAGATTGTTGGGCTGGTTACAAGGCTGGTTTATTAGCGTTCAGTTTAAGCTGAGTTCAAACATGGACGGTTAATCAGATAAACCAGTGATTAGTAGACAGCAAACAAGCCAATTCTGCCTCAAAGCTGCTCTAGAAAACAGTCCATGTGTGCTCTCGGATGTGCTAGAAAATGTGATTTTTGTCATTTCCTGGAGGCTTGGGAGGATTTTCTCATTCTTGGGATTTCTGGGGAATGCGGGCTCCTGGGCTCAACCACAGACCTAGAAGGAATTGAGGAATTTGCTGTTTTCCACGTCTCCCGGCCCCCTCAATGGTTCTGAGGCAGGGGACCCTCAGGGTGAACTTTTAAAGGCATGTCTCCGGGTTGGAGATGAGCAGAGCAGCTGCTCCCAGTGGTGCTGGATGATAGCCAGGGCCCTTTCAGGCAACAACTGTGGCAGTCGCCATGGGGTGGACCCTGTGTGTAGGTCTCTCCTCTAAGGTGACTGTTTATTTGTATCAGCTAATCCCAGAAAGGCTGGTGGGTGGTGATTGGTTTCCCCTGAGAGATCCAGAAGGTGGGGGAGTGGGAGGGGAGAGGTGACAGGAGGTGGTCCCTCCCCAGATGAAATTCCTCCTCTTATGGCTTGAGAGACTGACTCATTTTAGTGGTAAAGTTAGGGTCATAGCGTGTTAGAGTGAAAGAGAATCTTGGAAATAATTAATTTAACTCTTCTCTATAATCAGCGAGGGACTTCCTTGATGGTCCAGGGGTTAAGAATCCGCCTTGTAGTGCAGAGGACATGGGTTCTATCCCTGGTCAGGGAACTAAGAGCCCACATGTCTCTGGGCAGCTAAGCCTGAGAGCCATGACTACAAGTCTGGGGGCCTTAACCAGAAGAGAAACTACAGAGCTAGAGCCCATGCACCACATTAGAGAGAAGCCCGCACGTCACGATGAAGAACCTGAGTGCTGCAAGTAAGACCCAATGCAGCCCCCAAAAATAAACATTAAAAAAAAAGTATAATCAGGGAAGCTGAGGCTCAGAGAAGGAGAGTTACTTGCCCAAGGCCACACAGTGGGCTAATGGCAGAGACAAAATGTAAATCTGCTTCTCTGAACAGAGGTGGCACTCAGGAAGAGGTGCTTTGGCACACCCACGCCCCAGCTGGCACATCCCAAGTACCACACCCAGGGAAAGTCAGGGAGCCCTCCCAGGATGAAGCCACTGTCCCCATCTTACCCGCTGATCCGGCCCACAACCAGGCTAACCTGGCCCTAGAAGCATTCTCTGCAAGATGTTGGTCGCGGCTTGGAAATCCACCTGCTTTCCTTATACCACGGTCCCCACATCAAAGGAAATATGGAGCACTTTCTTTGTAGAAAAGATTATCTCCCCCTAAGCCCCAAAAAGAACAGCTTCAGACAGAGGCAGCTTCGTGGGCAGCCACCTGGGCGGTCATGAAGCGGCCCCTGAGATGGGTCCCGGGTTGGGTTTCATGCTTTGCTGCCACCAACCTGACGTTCTCAATCGCCTTTGAGCAAAGGGCCCCAGGTTCTCACTGCGCACAGCCGCACAAACGCTGTGCTCCATCCTGGTCTCAGGGTGCGAACAAACAGGTTTGGCCGGCTTTCCGCAGTCTTGTGCAATCTGCGGGTGGCTCGCCCCAGGAAATGTCAGGGGCTCCTCGCGGCAGAGGGCCGCTTTCCCTCTGAGCCGGGCCTGTCCCTGGGAGAAGGGCTGGGGGCCTGGCTGACCGAGCCATTGTCACCTTTCCGGCCCTTCCGCTTACGCAGCCTGGGTCGACGGGGAGCAGAGGCGGCTCCTAACCAGACAGGGGCGGCAGCAAGAGAAGTTGGAGTGTCCGACGGGCCTGGAGGCTGGAACAGCCCCGGCCAGGGCGAGGCTCCGATTCTGCTGCCCAGACCTGGCACCAACATCAACTGGGCGTGGCTGGTGACCAAAGAGGGCTGGCCAAACAACTAGGAATCGATTTTCTTCCAGGACAAACTGGGTCCCCTTTGCCAAGCTGAGTTTGGCAGGAAAAAGCAACGGACAGGGGAAAGCAGGGGTGGGGGGAGTCGGTGAGGCCTGGGACACGGGGACCCAAGACCTCGGCCAGCTGGCGTGTAGGTGTGGGGCGTGGGGTGGATGCAGGCCAGATCACGGGCTAAGAAGCCACCCGGATTGTGTTTCCATGGGCCTGGGGCCCTTCACCCTCACAGGGGGAGGCTCGGATCCTCAGCCAGTGGCCATCCCTCTAAAGCTGACACGGTGGCCTCTGCACCAGGCTTTTCCAGCACACAGGTCACTACTTACATGACAACCAGAGCGGCGTCCCGTGAGTAATCCAGCAGAATCTCGTTCAGCCTCACCTGCCGCAGGGACTGGGCAAGGAAAAGCCATGTGGTCACTCCCTGCGTCCTCTGAGCCATCCCCGTCAAGCCCAAATCCACATCCTTGAACATCTCAAACTGGTGTGTGAATTGTCCCCCCAGATTATGATAGATTCTCCCACCTCCGAGAAGGTGACTCAATGCCAAGCTCGCCTCCTGGAGGAGCCCCCAAGGTGTTTTCTTCCTGACCGTATTACTGTGGGACTGTGGTGGGAAAGAGCACCTCCCGTGGAGTGGGGAGGGCTGGGTTCACATCTCAGCTCTAGGAGTTTCCGACATTGAGCAGGCACTTTGCCTCCCTGAGCTTCATTGTCCTCAGCTGTGAAATGGGTCCAACAGTGCCCACTGGGGAGCCTGGGGAAGCCTGAGTGAGATGATGTATGCAAAAGCTCCAAGGGGAAGCAGTTGATAAGGTGGACTCAGCAATGGCGATGGTTCTATCTCCTTTGTGACAGAGTAGGCAGGAGACTTCTGTGGACACGACACATTACTCAGCCTTTTCTCAGGAGCTGGGTGACTCTGGAAGGCTCAGAGGCCGAGTGTCAGGACTGCCGGGTCAGGGAACTCCCCAAAGCTCGGGTGGGGCTGAGCTGTGGGGCGGACTCCCTACCCCTCCAAGGCTTGTCTCTGAATTGTTCAGAAATGGTGGACACTCAGGATTGTGGACGGATACCCCCTTGGAGAGAATGGAAAACTGAGGGCAAGTGAGTTCACCCAGATCTCACATGGGCGGCATTTGGGTGGAATCACTCTGCATTGTGGGAACTGTCCATTGTGGGTTGCAGGATGTTTAGCAGCATCCCAGGCCGCTACTTGCTAAGTGACAGCAGCCATTCCTGCTGGAAGGTGACAGCCAAAATTGTCCCCAGAAATCACCAAATGTCCCCTGAGTCCTCAGAACTACCACCATGGAACTCACAGGGAGCAGAACTGCACTCCCCAGGCCCCAACTGCTCTCCCCACCTTAAAATGGGCACGCCAGCCCCTACTCTCCTTGAGGCCTGAGCAGAGTCCTGAAGAGGCTGCCTGGGAAGGGTGTGAGGTCCACAGCTAAGGGGAGAAGCTCAGGCAGCTTTGTGGGCCCACAAAGGACAAACTCTACCTTGACCTTCACCACCTGCCTTATGAATTCCTTCCTGCAGACCTGGAGGAACAGGGGAAGAGGGGGAGAAGGACCCCAGGCAGTCCATCACCATGGCCAGGGAGACTCAAAATGGACCGAGGGACCAGGCTCCCACACCAAGGATGGCTCTGAGATCAACCCCTGGGTCACTCGCTCAGCGTGTGTGGCTTGAGGACACCTCAGAGGCTTGGTGCAGGGAGACTACAGTTGAGGGTCAGGGGAAGGGGTTCAGCAAGCCCAGGTCAGATGGGGCACAGGCCCTGAGCCAGGGGAGCACCCAGACCCCACCCCACCCCTTCTTTCTCCCGCACCTTGATCCTATTCTTGTTAATCTCCTCATCTGAGATCTTCCAGGGGCAGTCACGCCTCATCTCAGTGACTGTGGCCTCGTCCTTGAAGCCATCATTCAGGCGGAAGGGTGCAATCATGTCCTCAAAGCGCTTGATGCTGGGGGCAGAGAGAGCCAGTGAGATCGGGTGAGGTGCCCATGTCCAGGGGAACTGGGTCCTCAGAGGGAGATGGAGGTGGGGGCCATGGGGACATACATTTCAGGCTGAAACCCTTTCTGATGCTGCTGTTAACAGCAAAGCAGCCTCTGTGTTGAATTCAGCCCTGACAGCTGGGTCTGACTTTGAACAGGACTTCCACAAGTGGTCCATGAAGCCTGACCTGGGATCCATCTCCACCCGCTGACCACTCCCACCCCAGGGTGTTTACTGAGCACCGCTCTGTGCTACACAAGAGTGAACAAACCAGACACCATCCCCAGGCCTCACAGAGCTCACGGTCTGCTGGGCGGCAAATAAGCAGTTCAATATAGATCAGAAGTTTTATGAAAGCACACACTGCGTCCTGGGATGGGAAATAATTGGGCAGAAAGGCCTCTCTCGACCCAAGGATGCCCATCCTTCCGAAGCTAGCTACGCACAGGCAGGGGGTGTTGGAGCAAACAGAATGGAAGGTGCAAAGGCCCTGAGGCAGAAGTGTGCTTGAGCTGCTTGAGGAGCCGCAGGGAAGCCTTTGTGGGTGGAGCAAGGTGAGAGGAGGGGAGAATAGGATGCCATCAGGTAAGTCAGGGAAAGGAGGAAGCACCAGCAAGGGAAACGGAAAGAAGGGTCACTGAAGTGGGAGGGATCCAGGAGAGGGCAGCATTTTGGATCCAAAGGGGCTGTCTCAAGAAGGACCGTGGTGTCAAATGCAGCTGTGAGGCAGAGAACGAGGAGGACAGCAGCCGGCTCTGCAGATCCAGCGGTGCAGACGTCACGGCCCAGCCTGGCGAGAGGGATTTCAGTGGAGCTGCAGGAGGATGAGGGCTGGAGGATGAGCTGGAGAATGAGGGAGAGGTGGAAGGAAGTGGTCACAAAGAGGGTAGCATCACTTTGGAGAAGGTCGGCTGTGCATGGGAGGAGAGAAATGGTCCAGGAAGTGGAGGCAGATACAGGAGCAAAGATGGGGTTTAAAGACAAGATGGGCTGGGGGGGATTCTACATGTGGCTCCCACTGTCCTCTCCATGGGGGAAGGTCTCCCCCCCATCTCTGTTCGCAGGCTTTCTCAAGGCTCTGCTCCTCCACCAGCAGAGATGGCCCTGTTCTCCTTTGCATTTGGGTCCATCTCTGCACCATTCCAATGCCTCTTGACATCCTCCCATTACCTCGGCCAGGGTAAACCATGCAGGGCAGGGCTGCAATTTACTCATCTCTGCCCCTGTAGCTCAAGCACAACCCTGAGAGAATGGGGGAGTCAGTATATCCATCACTATTAACTAGTTCCTTCCTTCAAAAAAATATTTATATATTTATTTACTTGGCTACACCGGGTCTTAGTGGCAACATGAGGGATTTTTAGTTATGGCCTGGGGGATCTTATTTGCGACAGTGGGATCTAGTGCCCTGACCAGGGATTGATCCCAGACCCCCTGTACTGAGAGCTTGGAGTCTTAGCCACTGGCCCACTAGGGAAGTCCCCTTTCTTTTCTTCTTGCTGTCCTTCCTTCTCCAGGTAAACAAGGGCTAAAGAGGTCAGGATGGACCTTACTTTACTGAGAAGACAGAGTCCTGGAAAACCTCACTTGGACATATTTCCATAAGGCAATCCTATCGTAAATGTCTTCTTTTAAGAATATGCAACTGAATCATGAGGAAAGTAACTTATTCCTTCTGGCCCCACAGTTGAGCCCTGCTACAAATTCACAAAGGAGTTTGCTTCAAGTCTGCCCACTTGCCATTGCATGGGTGAGCAGGGCAGTGGTTGCCCAGACCATTCAACATCTTCCGCTCCCCAAGTGCCAGTGAGTTAATATAACACCAGGGGCTGCAGCTGCCATGCTTCTGTCTCAGGGCCTGGGGAACTTCCGTTCTGTTTGTTCCAGTGCCCCTAGGCCCTGTGGAGGGGACGTGCCTCTGCCATGGCCTCTGCAGAAGGAGCCTCCTTCCAGTGGTGTATTTCGGGGCATATGATCCGGCCACTCCTGGCCACGGCCAAGTGGACTAAAGGTGGCCAAGAAATAGACCTTCCGGTGACCTTTACCTCGGCTTGGCAGGAAGCAAACAGCCAGGCTGGTCGCAGTCCCTTTTTCAGACACTTAATTTAAGCAATGTCTGGAGAAGGAAGGAGGCAGTCTGTAGCAGAGTTAGGAATATAGGGAAAGGTGGAGATGCAGAAAGAGTTCGGAGGCTACAAGTGGGCAGAAGCCACAAATTCAGCCTTGACTGATCACTGACTCTGGGCCGGGCGCCCTGTTAAGCATGTGGATCGTCTGAGACTGTGGTTCTCAAAGTGAGGTGCATGCACCAGCATAGGAGAGTTTGTTAGAAGTGCACCTTTCCAGGCCTCACCCCAGACCTAGTGACTCAGAATCTTGGGGCTGGGCCCCTGAAGCTGTGTGTTCACAAACCCTCCATGTGATGCTGTTGTTTGAAAACCAGTCCTCTATGAAAACAACAGGGGTTGGAGAAAATTGAGAAAATCAGAGTAGATGAAATCAGCCTTTTGTGAGTAGCCAGCAGCCTGAGCTCGAGAAGTGTGAAGCTGGAGACTTACTCAGCCCCAGGGCGTGTGGGGTGGATGGGAGGTCCCTGTCAGATGAAACACCAGCTCTGCTCTAGGGGCACAACAGCCATGAAGAGCTTCAAAGACACTTGGTCTATGAAAAGCATGAATGGGAACATTCATTGACCTTCAGCCCAGGTGTGTTTCTGGCAAAGACCACAGCTCTGATATGCAAAGGACCACAGGGCAAGAGGAAAAAACTCAAACAGAAATTAACGGCTGCAAACTCAATCCTTCCTCTTTCTTTCCATGAGCCCAGGGTAGGCAGGGGCAGGTGAGCCAGGTTGCCCTTGGTTCACCAAAGAGAAAGGGCCGACCCTTCTGCCTGGAACCCCCAACACAGAAAACTCACTGCTCGGCCCGTGGCTTCTGGTTGATGTCGGGAAGGACATGAACTTCGTGGAATCCCAACCGGAACTTGCTCAGCAGAGAAATGATCCTAGAAGACAGAGTTTTTTTTTTTTAATTCATTCATTCCTTCAGTGAGTTTTCATTGAGCACCTGTGGAGGATATGTGTGTTAGTTGCTCAGTCATGTTTGACTCTTTGTGATCCCATGGATTGTAGCCCACCAGGCTCCATGGGATTCTCCCAGCAAGCATACTGGAGTGGGCTGCCATTTCCTTCTCTAGGGCATCTTCCCGACCCAGGGATTGAACCTGGGTCTCCTGCATTGCAGGCGATGCTTTACCATCTGAACCACCAGGGAAGATATAGCAGTGAACAAAACAAACTCTGCCCTCGGGGATTTCACATTCTATCCTGCGAGGGAGGCAGACAATAAGTGAATATTGATAAAGCAGGTCAGATGACGAGTGACAGGAGAAAGGAATTGTCCTAAGTCTCCAGTGGCCATCCCTGGGCTAGAGTGCCTCACATTCTAACATCTGTGCACCTGCTGGGGAGCTTGTTACGATGCCGGTTCTGATCCAGCTGGCCTGGGTTAGGACCTGGGATTCTGCATTTCCTTTTTTTTTTTTCTAATCTTTAAGATTTACTTTTGTCTGAGCTGGGTCTTTGTTGCTGCATGTGGGATCTTTCCAGACCAGGGATCGAACCCGTGGCCCCCGCATTAGCAAATGGATTCCTAACCACTGAACCATTAGGGAAGCCTGGGATTCTGCATTTCTAAGAAGCTCCCAGGTGATGTGAGACTGCTGGTTCACTGGCCACACTTTGAGAAACGAGGGGCTAAGGGATGGGAGTTGAACGGCAGGAAATTCCGCAGGGTGGCTGAGGGAGCAGGTAACACGTATGAGCTGAGTGTAGAACCAGGAGTAGCAAGCCAGCTAGCCCTGAGTTTGCATCCACAAGGAGGAAACAGCAACTGTGGTTTGAGGCAGTCAGAGAAGGCTTCACAGAGGAGGTGGCGATCCGGCTGGATGGTGAATGGTGGGTAAGACTGTTATAGACTGAAGAGGGTGGATAAGCGTGTTCACACCGGAACCACACAAGGAGGCTTCTAAACAGTACTCGTGCCTCGGCCCTAGTCCGCCCATTGCATCTGAATCCCTGGGCAGGACATGGCATTGGTGATGCCCCAGGACTAGCTGGTGGGGAGCGAGCACCCCAGGAGGAGAGTCCAAATAAGCAAAGACACAGGGGTGCAGGGGATGGCGTGGGAGCAGTGAGGGGCTGCCTGGGACGGTGTGGAGCATGCCAGGGGACAAAATGGAGACGAACTGCCAAGCCATTGCTGGTCCCAGAACTTGGGAGTGAACTTAGGAAAGCAGAGCTGTGGGCAACACAGGGGTGGCCTGGGGTCACAAGGAAGGCAGAGGACTTGGGCTGGCCCAGAGTCAGCCGGGAGGAGAGGAGATTCCACAACCTTTGCTTGCAAGACATCCTGTGACCCCACAGTGCCGCGGCCTCGATCTAAGCCAATGCCCCCTGAGCCCAGCTTTGAGTGGGAGCTGGAACAGGGAGCCAAGAGGGCAAAGCAGCCTTTGTGGTGTGTTTACCTAACGCAGAGGAGCACAGAGAAGCAGATGCTGCGTTTCCTGGGCAACGTTCTCCTCCGCGTTGAGGAGAAGGGCCCTCCAGTGGAGAAGCTCTCAACGGGGGTAAGGGCAATGAGATGGGGTTGCTGGTTGCCCTTAACCCATGCAGCAGGGGTCATGGGGATGGGTGTGGTCCTGGCATAGGACTAGGGTGGCACAGGCCATGGGGTCCCGCCCCTGAGGCCTCACAGCAGGCACTCAGGGCTGTGCAGGGTTTTCTCTCTGGCTAATTAATTGCACAGTTTGGGGCAAGCCACCCACCCCATCCTCCCAGCCTACCCGCACCCTCCAGCAGTCCTTGGTCCTACGGCCTTCGACCTCACTTGACCTTGCTCTAAAGCAACAGGAACCCGAATCTAGCACATGTGTGCCACCTGCCCGACTCCTGCCACCTCCACACCTGTGTACGTGCCTTACTCTTTACTTCCGCCTGAGCTTAAGTCAGCTCACATTCTCACTTAGATATGTCTTGAAAGGAAATGGCTTCACAATTTAATCAGCAAATCAGCAACTCTTGCCAGAAAGATGCGGCCAATAAAACCAGTAAACCAACACCACTCAGTTCTGGAGGATGCCATCGCCTGCCAAGCACTTGAACCAGGCCGACTTCCTCTTGTTTAGACAGAGAATCAGCCGTGGAGTTGGAGAATGGAGTCCCTTCTCACCAAGAGATTCCGGGGGATTTGCTGCCCTTCATCCTGGCCACTGAAGTCACCTCCGGTCTCACCAGGGGCGGCGCCCCAAGCTTGGGGGTGGGGGGATGGGCTGGGGTGGGGTGGGGGACATTGCCCTGAAGGATTCTAAGCTCCCGCCTCATTTCTGAGGGGCGGGGCCTTCTCCATCCTTCATTTCACTGCAAATCTCCTGGAGATTTGTGGATTTAAAATTTACCAGCCCTCCCTGCCATGGACAGGACTAGGACATGCGCATCTTATTAAAGGGGACAGGACACCAAAACCACTTCTGAAATAGAGAGAAAACTTCCTGTCCTGAACTCTCTCACCACTGCTGTGACCCGAGACCCCCGAGGGGTGGAATGCGGAGTGCGGGCAGGCGGGGGCAGGCAGGGGTAGCCCTGGATGGTCAGCGCTCCCCACTTACGCCTTTCTCTCCTGGTCCATCCTGTTGATCTGGCCCCCCACGAACACGCGGATTCTGCATTTGCTCCATCTCTTCTTGCGGCCGAGGAGATAGGGGATGAGGAGGGTGAGGCCTGGCAAGGAGGGTGCCATGAGTTAAGAGAAAGATGCTCTCAGGATACAGCCTTCTCTGGGCCCCGCCCGGCTCTGCCTCTAGCAAGCCCCATTCCTTCTCTTGGCCTCTTGTACTCATCTCTATAACGAGTTTGCCAGGTGAAACCAGGGCGAGACATGGCTCTGTGGGCTGGGGTTCATTTGAATGGCATGATGCTTTTATTTATTTTTTAAAAATCTGGGGGGCTTCCCTGGTGGCTCAGTGGTAAAGGATCTGCCTGCCAGTGCAGGAGACATGGGTTTGATCCCTGATCCAGGAAGATCCCACAGGCCTTGGAGCAACAAAGCCTGTGTGCCACAACTATTAAACCTGTGCTCTCGAGCCCGGGAGCTTCACTACTGAGCTTGCACACCCTAGAGCCGGTGCTCCGCAACAAGAGAAGCCACCACAATGAGAAGCCTGCACACCACAGCTAGAGAAAAACCCATGTAGCAACAAAGACCCAGCATTGCCAAAAATAAAAGTAAATTTAAAAAAAATTTATTTTGGCCTTTCAGGATCTTATTTCCCAGAATCAGGGATCCAACCTGCACCCCCCTGAAGTGGAAGTGCCCACCAGGGAATTCCCGTGCACAAGGCTTTTAAATACCTGAGCTGGCACCTGGGGGGGATTTCACATGCAAATCTAGATCACTGTCATTTATCACTGTATGATCCACACATGACTTCTCTGTGCCTCAGTTTCCTTATTTGTAAGGGGAGTTAATAATCGTTTCCACCTGGGGACTGCATTAGGTTAACCTATGCAAACCCTTGGCTTCAAGCATATAGTAAAAGGTCAGAATATCTTCTCTGTATCTAGAACTCTATCAAGGGTGGGAACAATAAAGCTGAGTCACAAGAAAAACGAAAGAATGCGTTTTTCTTTGGTAAGTGATGAATATGCCTCCAGCTTTCCTGCGCTCCGGCTCATCTCTCCCACTTATGTCACGAGCCCGTGACCCCGATGGCCTGTCCAGTCTGAAGGACCCTCCTCACGCTGACCTCACCTGCTGCTTTAAGTCCCTTATTTTACAGCTGAAAACAGAGGGCCACAAGAGGGACCTGACCAGGCTCCCGTGAGCCCAGTGGTGGGCCTAGGGCCCCCATTCCTCTTAGCTGGGCCCTGAGGCCCCACCACTGGCTTTGTCATCAGCGGCCAGCAAGGGAGGCCGAGAGAGGAGGTCATGGAAGGGAGACAGCCGGGGAGAGCCGGCATCTAGGGGCGCTGACCTCCGTCGTCGAACAGCCAGTAGATGTCGATGGTCTTCTTGCCCTGCTCCGACTGGAAGACGGTGCTGGCCTGCTCCTCCTGCACCAAGGCCTCGGGGTCCGCTGCAGGAGCAGAGGGGCAGGTCATGTGGGTGCAGAGCACATGGGAACGCCTGAGTCTGTCTGAGAACACATCGTGGGCTTGTGCTCACGGTGGCCGGACGCCCTTGCTGTGTGCGCGCTGGAGACTGGCCGGAGCACCACCAATGGGCCCTCCTGTGGGAGACTCCTGGGGCGGGGACCCCGGACAAGCAGTGCTGGGATGTGCCCCTCCTCTTGCTCCCAGCTTCTCTCTCCCTGGATTCTTGTTGGCACCGGGGGGTGGGACCATTCTCTTAAAAACCCCCCTGTGCCCCTCACAAATGCCCACAGGACGCTCCCAGACCCTGCACTGAGCGTATCCCGCCTCCCAGAGTGTTGCTGCCCCTCCCCGTCGGAGCATGACCAGGGGGCCCTTGGAGGGGCAGGACTCAGGCCCCAGAGCCTACTAGATGGAGTCCCACGATGCCTGGACCCTGAATTCTCCAGCAGGGCTGGCAATCTTCATCTTGCCCCCAGCCCCACTGTCCTACCAACTCCCTGTGACCGAGTCCTAGGTGTCTCAGGCCCCACTGTCACAGACAAAAACCTCCTGCCCTTGGCCAAGTTCCCCCGTGGCCCATCCCACAGAGCCCCCCAGGGTGAGAGTGCCCTGTGCCTCTGAGTTGGGGAGGGGGACTGACCTGTGCCAGAGACAGACAGCTGGGCCCCGCCGGCTCTGGCTTCCTTGCTGTCCTCTGCTGGGTCAAACACAGGGTTAACTGGAAAAGAGGGGGAGCTTCATTCCCAGGCTTCTCCAGGGGCCCTCTTACCTTGGGGGAAGGTCCTGACTCCACAGCTTCCACCGATCTGGTCTCTGCCTCCTTGCACGCTCCCTGCACCCCCCACCCCCCCCCCCCCACCAGCTTCCTGTCTGCTCAAACAAGCCATGCTCCTTCCCACCAGGCCTCAGCGGTGGGTGGGTGGTCCCAGAGCCAAGCACCCTCTTTCCCCAGCCCTCCTCTTCTAGAAATAAGCCCCTTCCTCAGAGAGGCGCTTCTGCCTGTGTGCCCCTCTGTGTGGGCCTCCTCAGGACACTTCATGAGCTGTCATTGCCTGCAATGAGTCCTGGGTCCACCGCATTTCCCCCAGAATGTCAGCTCCTCCAGGGCAGACTTGGTTTTGTTCCCTGCTGAAAGCCCAGGGCCTAGAGCCACCCCGGTCAGGAGTGTGGCTGCAGCTCTGTAAATTCTGGTTGTGTAAATATTCACTGAACTACCAGCTGCCAGGCACGCCCTCAGCGCTCGGTGACCTGGGTGAACAAGACCCAGGCTGGCCTGCAGCCTCCCCTCTTCTCTCCATCGCATCAGCCCCCCTACCCCTCTGGTCCCCATTTGTCTTCATATGTGTTATTGCTATCACGCTTCTAAACTAATTCAGATCTGTTTACATGTGACCTTAAATGTAGCACGTATCCCTACTCTATGCCCCAGCTTTCAAGGCCTTTCTGTGTGTGTTTTCATGCTCTGGAGTCTCCACGTGGCTGTCCTCCCCTGTCTTTTTCTCTCTCCTGTCTATTAGCTTCTTTTTATCCCATCTGGTTACGAAAGCTCTCATGGTGATTTGGGGAGCTGTGGTCCAGTCAAGCAAGGCCTTGAAATAGTCACATCCCCTTTCAGGACCTCAGTTTCTCCATTTAGAAATCTGATGATTTCCATCAAAAACTGACTTTCTAGGAGTCTGTGACCTTTTATTCCTTACTAATTCCCCCTGTCTTCCTTGAACCACTTAGGGAAAAAAATGGGTTCTATAATTTCCTGGGATCCGGTTCTGTCTTTGTCGGGGGCGTCAAGAAGGTCGGGGGTACTCACTGTGTGCCTGCATCACCTCCGAGATGTTGAGGCCCTCCCGCATCCTCATGACACATACACCGTAGTTGAAATCAAAAGCGTCGCTGGAGAGAGAGGTCATGGTGTCAACCTGCTCTTGGCCCTGCCTCCAGCCCCCAGTCCCCAGACCCCAGGAGGCCAGTCTAGAGCTGACCCTGCCTCCCACCATACTCTTCTCCTCTCTGGGCCTCAGTCTCCCATCTGCATAATATGCAGGCAGGACTGGAGAGGTGGCCAGGACCCCTCTAGCTCTACTGTCTGAGACACTATGGATCCTGCAGACCCTCCTGGGGGAAACTGAGTCAGATCAGTCTTGGAACCAGCCCTGTCCTCCTGATTCTTGCTAAGTAGTGCCCGACTCTCAACCCCATGGACTAGACTGTAGCATGCCAGGCTTCCTTATCCTTTACTATCTCCTGGAGTTTACTCAAACTCATGTCTATTGAGTTGGTGATGCCATCCAGCCATATCATCCTCTGTCACCCCCTTCTCTTCCTGCCTTCAATCTTTCCCAGCATCAGGGTCTTTTCCAATGAGTCAGTTCTTCGCATCAGGTAGCCAAAGTATTGGAATTTCAACTTCAGCACCAGTCCTTCCAATGAATACTTAAGGTTGATTTCCTTTAGGGTTGACTGGTTTGTTCTCCTTGTAGCCCAAGCGACTCTCAAGAGTCTTCTCCAGCATCACAGTTTGAAAGCATCACACATGGCTAATCTTCACAACTCTACCAACAGAGGTGGGGATGGGAATTGCTACCCCTGTTTGACAGATGCAAAATCTAAGTTTTAGGGAGTATCTTATCTATGATCACACACTAAGAAGTGGCCAGTTCAGATCAGAATTAAATAGCTGAGGATGGACATGCACACAGGAATGGCCTCGCTCATGAAGACAGCAATGGGCTGTCTGTGTGGAATGTCTGGAAGACTCCCACCCCACAAGTATGTTTACTCTCTGGTTGACACAGTGCCCAAGAGCCCACCAGTAGGGTTAATCTACTAGGCTTACCACTGCCCTCTCTGAACTCTAATCACAAATCTCTGGGACGGGGCCCTTTAGGCTTCAGCAGTTTGGAGTTTTGGCATATTGAAGCTGGGGGTTCCTACAGAGCAGGTATGCACTGCCTCCTGTTGTAATTTTGCTAGAGACAGTGAGACGAACTGCTCAGTCATACAGCTGGTTCACAGCAGACCTGGAAGCCAGGCCCAGGTCCCAACACTCAGCCTCATGTTTGTTAAATGCTCCAGCACACTGCCTCTCTATACCCCATCAAGGCAGAAAAGCAGCTCAGGCAGGCATTTTCTGGACTTTGCACAGCAAGAAATGAAAGAGAAAGGGTTTGGAGTTAACCCTGAAATCCCCAGGGAGTTTATCCCCTGGTCCCATTCCCCAGTTTGTCACCTCCTTGCAGGCCTGGTTTCGGTGGTACCACCTCACAGCTTGAGAGCTGGGCATTTGCAGGTCTTCTGCAGCCCCCAGGTAAGCACACGATTTTCACCTAAAAACTCACATTTTCGACTTCTCTGACAAACTAGATTCGGCAACGCTGGGTCCTCCTTTCTGCCTGGGTGCGATTAGCTAGAGCCAGAGAACACCTGTTCTCCTCCGTTGGCCACAGTCCCCACCGTTCCCTAACGCCCCACACCTGGCCCACTTCACTCTGTTACTTGCCTGTCTGCTGCCAGTCTGGGTGTCTATGACTCACAGGGGAGAGTGGGGAACCCTCAGTCTTTTTCTTCCTCAGTTTTGAACCAGTGGACTCAGCTTCTTACAGGGTCCACTGCTTCCCCTCTATTTCCCAAGGCCCAGGAGACGCCAAAGGCCCAAATCAAGAGACCTCAGGCCCTGGCCCGCCTGGTGACCTCACTCACTGCAGGATGCCAATGTAGTCCTCCACCGTGGCTGGGTGAGCCGACTGCCAGTTCTTCTTGAACCCGACCACCAGAATGTTGGGCTTCATCCTCCCGAGACCTGCAGCCTGCCAGGGGTTGGGGATGACGTGAGGGGGTCAGGCCACAGCCCCATGGGGCTCTGTTCTGTGACCAGGGTGGGGCCTGGTCTCAGCCCAGTTTCCCTCTCTGCCATGGGGTGGGAGCTCAGGAGATATATCCCTCAGTTCAAGGTCCTGGCTGCCTGGATACATCCATGAGAAAGGTGAAGCTACAGTCAGAGTTTTTCCCTGAGGCCTCTGCAAGCAGGGGCCAACGGCTGGACTGTCCCATTAGTTCTGGATCATCCCAGCTACTGTTCCTTTATGGAATTATTTCCTATAACAGGGGACTTGAATTTGGAAGTCAAACTTGGAGTATTCCTGGGTCACCTAATCCATACATCTTTTATATTTCTCTTTTTTTAATGTTAAATTTTTTTTAATTTTTGAGGTAAAGTTTACATAATATAAAAGCACCCATTTAAAAGTGTATAATTCAGTGGCATTTAGCACATTTAAAATATCACACAATCATAACTTCTACCTTTGCTCCAAGTATTTTTATAATCCCAATAGGAGACCTTGTATGCTCTTTTTTAATTTTGAGAAATATTGAAAACTATTGAAAAGGAGTCCCCTATGTTGACTCAGAATTAACAGCTTCCCATGCATCCCACTTTACAAATAAGAAAACTGAGCAATAAAATGAATTGCCGGGTGGAACATTCTAGAACTTGACCCGAGTGGTGGTTTCATAGCACTGGGTGGAGTCTGCATATGTAAACATATATCAAACTCTACACTATTTCACTTTGCTCTCTGTAGATTACATCGTTAAAAAGTCCCCAGACCACAAACTGTGTCATCAGCTTCCACAGGTCTCCACGGCAGTGTCCCCGGGGCCCTGGGCACTTGGAGGCAGTGCCCTGAATCAGCACATCCAGAGTGGGGGAGAAAGGCGGGACTCCCATCGCAGCAAAAGGGGCTTCAACTAGCCCACCAGGGCATCCCACTTCCAGGTTGTCACACCGAGTGGTAAGGCCTGTGGGCAAGCCCCAGGCCCGCCCACCTGCATGAGAACCTGGACGCCACTGCGGAGGTCCTCGGCGAGGACGTCGGAGTAGAAGGCCTTGATCTTCCTCTTGTTCAGCCACTTGGTGTGCCCGCTGGCGATGAGCCGGAGCTCAGGCATCCTCTGTTTGCGGGCGCCCTGTGGGTGGCAGGGACGCGTGACCTCAGGGGTGGCCTTTACCCTCTGACCTGAGACACAGCTCCTCTCTTGCCCTGGAGGTTGTCCCCTGGGCTCACTGCCGGTTTCCTTTATGGAATTAGGGGGAAAAAGAGGAGGAGGAGGGCTTTCCTGGTGGCTCAGCTGGTAAAGAATCCGCCTGCAATGCGGGAGACCTGGGTTCGATTCCTGGGTTGGGAAGATCCCTGGAGAAGGGGAAGGCTACCCACTCCAGTATTCTGGCCTAAAGAATATAGTCCATGGGGTCGCAAAGAGTCTCGCAAAGAGTCAGACGTGACTGAGCGAACCTGTCCAGGCTCCACAGCCCCTCCTCTGGCCCCTACCTCACCCCATCCCACTCCCAGTCTCGGGGGTGGACCCGGTGCCCAGAGGCTCCTCCGGGAGGACAGCCCCGCCCTCCCTGCAGGGGACACTCACCATGAGCACGTGGCCGCAGATCATCAGGCTGAGGTTCCGGGTGAAGGTGCCCACAAAGTCCACGAGGGCCGGGCGGAAGTTGGGGGGCCCCGTGAGCACCAGGCACTGGGGGCTGAGGAGGGGAAGGGAAAAGAGCTGTTAGGACAGAGCTGGGGGTGTGGATGCCAAATCAAGTCACTCCAGGAGTTGCCCCAGCTCCAGGACTCCCTTCTTAGACAGAGGAACCACCCCCTGGGCCTCCCGTCCTGACTCCTTTCCAGCTCTCTCTCTGGCCAGCCACCACACTGGATGTCCCTTGTTCCTCCTGTTCAGGCCACCACATGCTCCGCTGGGGCGAACCTCCCTTCAGCTGCTCCACCTAGAGCCCCTGCTCCACTCAGCACAGCATGGTGTGAACAGAATCAAGACTGCAAGTGGGCAGGTCCCTCACTTACGAGATCACTGCGTTACCGGATAGAAGAGGCAGCCAAGGCTCACAGTCAAGGGTCACTACCAGACTCAGTTGGAACCAGACAAAACTGGCCATTCACCAGCTGTGTGAGTTGGGGCCAGTTACTTAACCTCTCCTTGCCTCAGTGTTCTCATCTGTGAATGGGGTTAGCAGTTTCATATACCTCAGAGAGTTGTGCCGATGCTGTGTCAGTCACCTTGCACAGGATTGACACCTAGATACATCTGATTATTAACATTGTGATCTGTTGGGAAATGGATCCTGAAGGCACAATTTTCCTCACTTAGGAGGGGAATCAGCTTTGAAGACTACTTGGAAGAGGCTCAGCACAGTCAGCCTCACGAATTATAACATCAGAGCAAGCTTACGAACACAGGTGGCCCTTGGGGTCTGTAGGTGCTACATCTGCAGGTTCAACCAAGTGTGGCGGGGACTTCCCTGGTGGTCCAGTGGCTAAGACTCTGCACTCCTAATGCAGGGGCCCGGGTCCACCCCTGGTTGGGGAACTAGATACCACATGCTGCTACTTAAGATTCTGCATGCTGTAATGAAGATCAAAGATCCCACGTGCTCCAAATAAGACCCAGTGTGGCCAAATAAATAAATATTTTTAAAAAAATCAAGCATGGAGATTGAATCTGGATGTGGGACCGTGGACAGCAAGGGCCAAATGTACTAGGCTTTTTACATAAGGGACTTCAGCATCTGAGGACATTGGTATCTGGGCAGGGGATGGGGAGACGGGGCTGGACCCAGTCACCGGTGGACACGGAGGGATGTCTGTGTTGTCTGTGTGTGTATCGCAGACATATTCCATTGTGGAAACTTAGGTACAGACAGGCCACTAGACTTGCCTGGGTCCCACTGGGCTGTGTCTACTCTGGTCTCCTGACTGCTGGGCGATGCCTCCCCACCCTGCTCCCTCTCCGAGAAGGGCAGCCTGGGTCTGCTGGTCAGGTGTCAGGCCTTGGCTGGGGATCTCCAGAGCAGGGTCAGGCCAGCCTGCACCCCAGGCACCCCAAGGCTGTGCTCACCGGTAGTTCTTGATGTGGTCCTCCACCTCGTTGAGACCCACAGAGTAGCTCAGGGCCAGGTTGTAGGAGCCCGCCTGTACCGAGGAGCCCCAGTTCACCTCTGAGGTTAGACGTCACGGGAGAAACCAGACATTAAGTACGAGGGAGGGAGTGTTGACCTTTAGGAACCAAACACCCGTGGGAGCAGTAGCCAGCCTGTAGTTCTGTTCCTAACCTTTGCACTTACAATACGGCTACATACATACATCAAGCTATCGAACTCTACAAACTATTCTCCTCCCTTGACAAACAGACCTTCACAATGACCTGGAAGGCCAAGTTCAACTTGAGAGTTCTAGGCTTTCCTGGAGTTTTTATCTCAACCCCAGAGGGCTGTCTCCTAGGATCCTTGCCTGCCTGCGTGTAGACACCCCTGCCCCTGCATCCAGGCTCTGACTGCCTGCCTTTCTATCAGGCAGCCCCTGGTCTGGTACGCACACCAGCAGGCCGGCCACTCTCAGGAGGTTGGACCTGAGCAGGCAATTCCAGGTCCTGGGTGTCCGGCAGGGGGTGGTCTAGAAGTAGAGGTGTGGGCTCTGAGTGGGCACACTCCCCAGGGGCTCCTTACCCCGTGGGGAGGGATGAGGCTGGAGGACCAGAGGGAGCCCTTGGGAGTACAGAGTCTGAGACAGGCCCTCTGGCTGAGCTGACGGGCTGGCCAGCTTGGCAGCCTCCGGGCGAGAAGGGCACGCCAAACCCTCCCCCCCACCCCCCCAGGGCTGCCTGAGACACACACCTGGCTTCTTGTAGATCACATAGAGCAGGAGGAAGAGGACCACACCGATGGCGATGAGGGCTGCCCACCAGGTGAGCAGGAACATGATGACCACGGAGATGATCGCCCCAAACAGCGCTGCCCACTTGCTGTAGTATCGGAACGAGGGTCTCCACCCTGGTGGGGGGCACAGGGCTCAACACTCTGGAGTCTCCCTCTGAGCCATCACAGCTGGGCAGAGTTGGGGTGGCAATGCCCACAGTGCCCAGAGCCTGGGTCACAGCCTTTGCCCACCCATCTCGCTTCCTGGGGTTGGCCTTGGAAACACTGATAAGGCCACACGCCTGCCTTGGCTGGCATCCCCCCATGTGAATAGGCATGGGCCCCATGTACCAAAGGGCAGGCATCCGGCTCTGGCCAAATACGCCCACAGGACAGCCAGCGTCAGCAACAGTGCTGGCTTCTGGGGCTCGCACAGAGCCGAGGGGGTGAGGTGGAGGGGAAGGAGTTGATTCTGCATGGCCTACATCTGCAGCCATGCCAGGGCCACCACTAGTGACAGCCACCGCATGCCACAACTCTAGGCACCGTGGTTCACAGCCTGGGGAAAATGTGGCCCAGGGACAGCTTATCGGCAGTTTGGGGCCAGTTGGGAAAAGTCTTCCTGGAAGACTCTTTGCTACCATCTACCAGAAAGTATTCATAATAAACATATAAATCTATGATGTCAAGAGTGGCGCCCCCTGGAGTTGGGCAGATGCAACCTGCAGCCACTCTGTGACTGGTGATTTTCTTCTCTCTCTGGGGAATCAGGTTCCTTTGACTCCCTTAGATCTGGGGGAGGAAGGCACGAGAAAGGTCTCTGCACACTGTGAACAGTGTATGAATCTATGTAGAGTGTACATTGTAAGTGCCTGCTAAAAGATAGCTGTTATTATTATTATTATTGAAATGTTACCTTTAATTGGCTTCAGTTTGACAGAGGACCTTGGTCTGCCCACCGGCACCCATGTCTTCCATGCCCCACCTCCATACCCCAGCCACAAGTGTCACCTCCCACGGAGAGATGAGGGCCTTGCTTACCGGGCGAGTTGGTGATGGAGGCGTGGAAGCAGCTGAAGTTGATGAGGGCATAGGAGCAGAGGAAGAAGTTGGAGATGATGGGGGCGATGGTGTTGAGCTCAGCTTCAGGGACCCAAGGGAGAGGGGAGATGGTCTGTTGGGCAGCTCTATCACAGAGTGCCCGGAACCCTCCCTCTCAGGGTACAGGAATGCCAGACGGGCCACTGAGGCTCAGGGAGTCTCAGCTTTCTCATCTGTGAAAAGGGCCCATCTTCAAGCCCATTGTTTCGTACGCTGTAAAGTGTCAGCTCTATGGAGGATGGAGAGTAATGTGAGGGTAGATTCTGTCAGGTGACAGAATGACCCAGGACAGTGACTGTCACTCCTTTTTGTAACCACAAATTATAAAAAGAAATACATCTTACAATGCGACCCGTGCCATCTGTTATCTGAAGCCTTGAGACCATATCACAGTTCCATCCACAGTGGAAACCTGCTCAAGAACTGACTCCTGCCTTTCCCTGTCTCACGAGCCCCCTGCCCTGGCACCAGTACACTTCTGCACATGAATCCTTGTCTCAGGGCCTGCTTCTTCACGATCCCCAAACAAGACGAGCACCTCTACGCGCCAGGTCTTCTGTACATGAGTCCATTGAATCAGCACAAGAACCTGCCCAAGAGCATCTGAGATCACTGTTCTCCATCTGAGGTCCAGGTCAGAACCACCCAGATGAAAGGGCATCAAATTGGAGGAGGGGGTGGACTGCAGGGAGAGCAGGAAACATGTGGCAACATCCAGGGACACCGGGCCTGACCAGGTGTTTCCACCCCCTGGGTGTGGCCCTCCTGCTTCTTCATCTGGTGTAGGACCCAGTCTGGAAAGTTGCCCTCAGGTGGAAGTGGGGCTAGACGATTAAGCTACGTCTCCTGGGTTGGCGGTGCTGGCCTAAGTCGCAGGGGTTCAGCTCTGGCAGGAAGGTGACCCCCAGTCAGGGGAGGTTCACGGGTCACTGACCCCGCCCCATTCCTGCATTGGGAGCAGGGCCAGGGGTCTTCATGGCCACTGCCCTTGCTTGGTCCGGTCACCTCTCTCCTAGCGCTCTCTCCTAGCAAGTTCTGCCTTGTTGGCTAAGTAAATCAGAAAGTACTGGGGAGTGGGCACACATGAGTATGTGCATATACGAATGCATATGTGTGTGTGTACATACATGGTCTCTTCCTGCCCTTCAGTGACACACCCTCTACTCATTGTTGCTCCCATTTTGCAGACAAAGAAACTGAGGGTCTGGGAGGTGAAGACGAGACAGGCCAGGGCAGAGGAGAGGGTAGCCCCAAGGATGCCAGCTGTGATCAGGGGCGCAAGGTCACACAGCCGGCACATGGCAAAGCCAGGATAGAGGTCAATCTAGCTAACTGATTAACTGGGATCTTTCTTCAAGGGCATCCCCTGTCTCAGACCCCAAGGGACCCAGTAGCTCGAGGTCTGAGAAATGAGGTTGGTATAGCTTCTGCACCTACAGAGATAGTGACCTAGCTGCTTGTACCAGCTCCCGAGGAGCAATCAGTCGCTTGCCCTGTGTTCCCAGCGTTTCCTGGGGGCTGGTTCAGACCTGGGGAGGGAGGGCCCAGATGCCAGCAGCACACAGGAGGGCAGAACCAGGGAAAGCAGGTCAGGCCCTGCCCTGTGGCCAGCCGGAGAGGTGGCAGCCCTGCGTGCCCTCGGCCACTCACCGATGATGATGAAGGCCACGGCGATGGCATAGGCCAGCAGGTAGCCACGCACCGGCTCATTGTTCTTGCCGTAGCCTTTGCCGAAGAAGCCGATCAGCGGGTACAGCTGGTCCAGGCACAGGCACTGTGGGCACAGGGTGACGCGCTCACCCCCTGGCCGGGACCTGCCCGTCCCCTCCCCTGCGGCCACCTGCTCCCCAGCCCCTGCTTGCTCTCTCCGTGACCTCGGCAGGACATTTCCTGGCTTCTGACTCTGTGAAAGAGGGGGATCTCCTACCTGGCTTCTGTCTCTGTGAAAGTGGGGGATCTCCCGCCCTCCCCACTTCACCACAAAGACTGAAAGGGGGCTGATCACATCGGAGGGAGACTGGGAGTGTGGGCTGCAGACGGGGCACCAGTGCAGGGAGGGTGTGGGGTGGGAAAGGTGGGTGCTCTTCAAAGCTCAGCGTGGCGAGGGGGCTGCTTCCTGCAGGCCTTCGCTTTCCCAGCTCCTTTCCCTCCCATCTGGACACCAGGTCACACGACTCCTCCAGCCTCTGGAGGTCACCTGGCCTCCCAGACCCTCCCGCCCTCTCCTGCGGCCTCACCTGGAAGACTTTGGCGGCAGAGACGAGACAGGCCAGGGCAGAGGAGAGGGTGGCCCCAAAGATGCCGGCTGTGATCAGGGGCGCGAAGCCTGATACCATGCTCATAGTCTGCAGGGACATGGGGTTCGGGCCGCCGAGGTGAGGGCCTGGGCCCAGAGCCCCCACCGGGGTCACCCCAGTCCCCACGGCAAGCAGGGACTTGGTCTGGAAGCTTCTACCTGAACCTGCAACCCTTGCTGGTGACCCAGTTCCTGCTGGGTCAGGAACTGGGCCTGGAGCCCCTGTCTGAAGCTCTTTCCCCAAACTGGGGACCATCCCCCCAACCTTGCCTTCTCCAGCCCATCCCAGCCTCCACCCGGCCCTCCCGGCAGCTGGCGGGGCCGCGCGTGCCTGGTAGTAGTTGATGAGGCCGTAGCGGCAGCTGTGGCGCTGACTGCACTCGGTGAAGTTCCAGCCGTAGCCACAGGCCAGCCCCTCGCAGGCGCCTGAGCCGGGGGTCACCGTGTCATTTAGCCCCCCGGAGGCATCTCGAACCACACAGGAGCCTGGGGAGGAAGGAGGGCGTAGGGTGGGCTCCCTCCCCTCCTCCCTCCCCTCCTCCCTCCCTCCCCTCCTCCCTCCCCTCCTCCCTCCTCCCCTCCCACCCGGAAAATGCTGGTCACGTCTGCAGAGGGCGAGATGCCGCTGCTGGGCCAGTTCTTCCTTTGCTTTGTAATAATAATGATGATAATCATTTTAGCTCTATGCAAGAGCACTTTTGACGTGCCAGGCCCTGTGTTAAGCACGTTAAACACTCCTGGGAAGCAGGTATTTCTATTATTTTTGTTGCTGTTGCCATTCTATAGAGGCAGAGGGAGCCTAAGTGACCCAAGGTCATAGTGTCCTCCTTATAATGGAGACCTGACTCTCAGGCCGTGAGCGGCCATGACTGGGCCATGTCCCTTGGCCATCTATCTGTGAGCAGCTCACCTCACAAGGGGGTTACTGAGAGCAGGAGTGTGTGTGAGGGTCTCAGTGAGAGGCAAGTGTCAGCAGCCCAGACCTGGGTCCAAAGCTCTCCTCTACCACTCAGGCTGTGTGACCTTGGGCAGGTCATTTGACCTCTTTGAGCCCTTGCTTTCTCCTCCATCAAAAGGCAGAAATGACCAGTGCCTGGATTAAATGTAATAAGGCATGTAAAGGACTGAGCCCGTAATAATAAGTCAGTTGCTAGAATCATCTTCTTTGTCCTCAGCATCACTGTTTTTATTATCATTCCTAGAGTTGGAGCTTGATTTTTCCTACAGGATTTTACATGCTTGCATCTGTAACCTGAGGTTTGGAAGGAGTCAGAGGAGCCTCGTCTGACTCCCCCCCATCTCCACTACAAACTACCTCCCAACATAGATGTTCTGGTTGCCACCACGGTGCCCCACCCAATAAAATTCACGGCTCCATGTCCTGGTGGTGCCATGTCCTCCCGGCCCAGCCCTCCCTGTTAGAGAGCCGACTGCACCCTGGGACCCCTCCAGTGCTCTGGGCCGGAGGCTTACCGATGGTGGCCGAGATGGCCAGGTAGGAGACGGTGGTCCAGAAAATGGCCATGAGCGTGCCCTTGGGGATGGCTACGGCAGGGTCCTGGAGGAGGGAGGGGGTGGGGGTCAGGTAGCCCCTCCCAGGCTCTGCCCTCGTCAGGCTGAGGGTGGGGCAGCCACCCCTGACCTTGGCCCTTCAGAGCCCCTTCCCAGGGGCACCTAGAGACTGAGCATCCACAGAGGAGGACAGGACAGAATGAAGGTGGTGGCTGAGACCACACCCAGGGAGCCGGAGGCGGGGAGAGGAGCCCCTAGCAGTTCCTCTGGTCCCTGAGGGCACCTGGCCAGTGCTTGCTCTGGGGGCAGCAAGGTGGAGGGCTCCTGAATCAGCCTGCGTGCATGCGTGAGTGCTCAGCTCTGACTCTGTGCGACCCCATGGACTACGGCCAGGCTCCTTTGTCCATGGGATTCTCCAGGCAAGAATACTGGAGTGGGTTGCCATTTCCTTCTCCAGGGGATCTTTCTGAGCCAGGGATTGAGCTCGTGGTTCCCTCATCTCCTCACTGGCAGGCAGATTTTTTATGACTGAGCCACCTGGGAAGCCCCCTGAGTCATCCCGCCTGCGGTCAGATTCAGGTGATCACCGGGCAGCGTGCCTGTCCTCCCACCCCTCGGGCCCTCCAGCCTCACAGGGATGCTGGCGAAACAAATCCAGATTTGTCAAGCTCCTAGACCAGGGCCCAGCTCATCAGTTGCGTTTGCAGCATGTAATCCCCATTACGCATCAAGTGATTTGATTACACAGCCAGGAATATATAGACCAGTCCCCAACTCCCTGCTTCCTCTCGGACAAAGAACTCTGCTGGGGCTTTCCTGGCAGTAAGAGCAGACCTTCACACCCACATCATGTGCTTCACTCTTCCGGGTGCTTCTTCAAGCATAGCTTCCTGAGAGGTGGCTGGTAGGGAAACTGAGGCCAGGGAGCCAGGAGGAGGGCCCAGTTCGCAGAGCCTTAAGCAGCTCAGCCCTGACATGTCGAGGTCCACAGCCTCAGACCCGCCCCTGGGGGTCACTGGTCCTGGGTGGAGGGATATAGGCTGGGGGTTTTACAGCAAGTTTCTGGTCCAGGTATGGGCCCTAGCCTGGAGGGGAAGGCCACGTCAGCCATGGGAAGTCAACTGGTAAACCTGCCTGCCTTCCCTGGGCCATTCTGCTCGCCACTCAGCTGGCAGATGCAGAAAGCATCAGAGGTGACAGAACTTGGAGGGACTGAGACACTGTTCAAGTTCATGGACAAGTCAAAACAAAGCTGGCCATGGTCCGGCTCTCTGCCTCAAACACTGGGTGGCCTGAGATGGAAGCCATGGTCACTCTGTGATGAGGAGGCCTGAGGCCTGGCCCAAGGGAGGAGGTACAGGTGGGATCCTGCCCACACAGGGCAGATGGTGTGCCCACCACAGGGAGGACCGCGGTGCGCTGGGGGGCAAGGCGGGGGAGACACTGCCAGAACCCTGGAAGGCCTCATGGTGGAGGGGACGACTGAGGTGACTCTGAAGGCGCTGGGTGGGGAGGAAGGGGGTGTAGGCTAGAGAGGAGAGGGAGTACAGGTGCCGAGCTGAGGGAGGCTGGCGTCTCTGGAGCATCCTATCTCTGAGGTCTCTGCTCTTCAGCTGTGGTCCAGCCAGCCCTGCCCTGAGAACCAGGAGGGCTCGCTAGGTCAAGCACACAGGGTCCCTGGGCCCAAGGCCAACAGACCAGGTCAACGGCCCATCTCACCTGTGATGGGATGAATAGTGTCTCCAAAAATTCACGTTTATCTAGAACCTTAGAACAGGGCCTTATTTGGAAATAGCATCTTTGCAAATGCAATTAAAGATGAGGTCATATGGAATGAGGTGGGTCCTGCGTCCAATGACTGGGTCCTTGTAGGAGGAGGAGAGACATGCAGAGGAAAGAAGGCCATGTGAGGACAGAGGCCAAACTGGAGGGAGGCAGCTGTAAGTCAAGCAACCCCCGGGATTGTTGGAAGCCTCCAGAAACTGGGAAAGATTGAAGGCAGGAGAAGGGGACGACAGGGGACAAGACAGTTGGATGGTATCACGGACTCAATGGACAAGAGTTTGAGCAAAGTCCGGGAGATGGTGAAGAACAGGGAAGCCTCGTGTGCTGCCGTCCACAGGGTCAAAGAGAGTCAGACACAACTGAATGACTGAACAACAAAAGAAGGTGGAAGAGGCAGGGAAGGATTCTTGCCTAGAGCCTTCAGAGGAGCACAGACTCTACAGACACCGTTGTTTGGACTTCTGGCTCCTAGAACTGTGTGAGAATAAATTTCCGCTGTCGTCAGTCTCTAAGTGGGTGGTAATGCATTATAGCAGCCACGGGACGTGAATACCCTAGGCCTCCACCCCGCCCTCACGTGTTGGTCTGAAATCTCAGAGCCCAGCTCACAGATCAGGAATATCTGGGTCCACATCCTGCTAAGCTCTCGCTGGCTGTGTGCCTTGAGACCAGTCCCTTACCCTCTCTGAGCCTCAGCAGCCCTCCCTCCTCACCTGTGAAATGAGAGAGTAGGCTGGCACATTAGCAAGGGCACAAGCAAGCTCACCAATGTGAGTGGTTAGGTGTGAGCTGTGTGGTCACCCAGCCTGGCACAGATCCCATGGCAGTCACTAGGAAGTCCCTCGTCTTGGTCCCCATCTCCCCATCAGAAAATTGACTTCATAATAATGCTTTCCTTGGCCTTAGCACAGGGTGGTTGTGAAAAGGAAACCTCCCTGAGACTGTGGTCATGAGACTGCTCTGTAAGCACTAAAGGGGTGGGGGGCATACGGGGTGAATGGAGACAACGACAACTTTGTCATCACCACTTTAAGGCTTGGCTCACATGTCACCTTCTCAGGGGTCTCTGGCCACCTTAGCCCCACTGCCGTCCTAGGGATTCCCTCCCTGCTTCTCTGCCTGATTTCTCTCCCCATCACTCAGCCACCATCAGGCAAACTACATGTTTTACTTATTTGTTTGCCGATTGTCTCTCCCACGAGGCACGTGAGCTCCATGAGGGTAGGAATCTGTGTTTTTTATTTACTGCTGCTTGCTTACTGTCGACAAGACCCTGGCATCAAAGCAGGTGCTCAAAAAATACTGGTTGAGTGATGAAGTTGTAATGAAGTTGAGCCTTCGGTATTCTAGAAACTTGGCATTCCAGCTCCCCTGACCCCTATGTGCGGGGCCCTGGGCAAGCCCCCAACCCTCTCAGAACTGGGTCTGCTCCTCTGTAATGGGGGGACAGTGATGGTAGAAGACTGTGGTGGCACCAAGGATATTATTTGTAAAGAAGGAGGCACCGGGACTTCCCTGGTGGTCCAGTGGCTAAGACTCCAAACTCCTAATGCAGGGAGCCTGGGATTGATCCTTGGTCAGGAATCTAGATCCCACATGCCTCAACTAAGGCCTGGCACAGTCAAATAAGTTAATTTAAAAAAAAAAGAAGGAGGCATTGTGCCGGCCACAAAATGACCCTGACCTTCACTACTAGCCCTTGGCACCTCTTCTGGGCCGGGCACCGTGCTAGCAGCTTATGTAAATCAGCACGCTGAACCCTTCCTGCCCTGTGAATACACGGCTGCATGAGTCCCATTTTACAGCTGGGGAAGCTGAGGCCCAGAGAGGTTTTAAGGGACTTGCATACAGCCTCCACGAACAGGACTACTCTTTGCTAAGGACGTGCTGTCCCACGGAATGGGCAAGGAGCCAGAGCCAGGAGGAAGGGGCCCCTTTAGGACTCGAAGGCATTTAAGACAGAAGAAGTCAGCCCTCCACCCCCAGCTCTGGAACAGCTGCTGGGCCCTGACGCCTGCACACTGGGCTGGTCAGTAATCTAAGAAGCTTGATGAAGCGACTAGATAAATCCCAAGGCTACGATTTTCTACGACGGGGCTGGGAGGGGAACCAGGCCACCTGAGCCCATGCCTGAGCTCTGCCAGGACCTCAGGACAGGCAGACCAAGCCCCTTCTGGCCGCTGCCCAGAGAAGGGAGGGGAACCGGCAAAGACAGCCTCCCTCTGAATTCCAGAGCCAGGCTGTGTTTGAGAATGCCTCCAACGCACAATTCTTAATTCATTCAAGAACGTGATCAGGGAGCACTTTCAAGCAGAACTGGAGGCAGAGGGTGAAGGTTCCCGGCACAGAGCCAGGCTCCTCTCGGTTCATCCCCACGTGTGTACCAGCTCCTTGGTTAACCCCTGCTGGAGAGGACTCCGCCGGCACTAGCTCCACCTCCACCCAGAAGTGTTGCAGGAGCTCCTGCCACCTCAGCCTGCATGGCTTCCCCACTTTATTACACACTCGCCTTCTGTTCTTACACTTCCCGTTTGCCACATCCCACCACCGTCCACTTGACAGACAGGCACCAGGCACCTAGTGCATGTCAGACGCAAAGCTGGGAATGCGGACACAGGGTGAGCCCCCAGCTCTCCAGATGCAGGGGACAGAGACGTTAGTGGCCTGACACCCCTATCCTAGGGGAACCGTGATGCTGACAGCTGGGTGGGGAGAGGTGTCAGGATGGAGGTGTGAATCTGCAGGAGGGACAGATCTTTGCAAGGTGAAGAAATGAAGAGGAGGAGCCCCAGGCGGAGAGCACAGCAGGGGCAGTGGTGGGGAGGAGGGACAGGGGAACGGGGCGGGCGAAGCAGTAGACCCTGAGGGCTGGGTGGGGCTCATGGGAACAGCAAACGTTCCTGTGGGGCTGGGGCCTCCCAGGCCAAGACAAGAAGCTTGCCCCATCAGGATGGTGGAGGGCCCGGGAAAGACATGCCTGATCCCGTCTGAGTGTTGGAAGGTCAAGCTGGCTCAGTCTTCCCCTTAGGCTGGGAGTGCCAGGATCGACGGAGGAGACCAGCCCATTTGGGGGTGGCCTTCAAGGCCTAGTGTGCGGTGGTGCCAGTAAACATCTTTGGAAATGAATGGGCTGAACGTGACGGGTTTAGGCTGGTCTGGACTGAGTTGAGCTGAAGTTTAAAAGCTCTGGCCCTGGGGGCTCAATGCCCAGCCCGGTGCCCAGTAGGACATCCTGGGAGGAAGGACCAGGAAGTGGAAGGGATGGGCGCCCTGCTCACCTTGAGGTCCCCAGAGATGTTGGCTCCTGCCAGGATACCTGTGGCCGAGGGGAAGAAGATGGAAAACATCCCGAAGAAGCTGCCATCCATGCCTCTCCATTCAGGCACCAAGTTTTGGACAAAAATGTCCGCTGGAAAAATGAGGCCTGAGTCAGGACCTCCTGGGAGGTCTGGCACCCCTTGCTGGGTCCAGCCAGGCAGGCAGGGGGCTCCCATGGCAGCTCATGCTTCCCCATATAAGCGAGCAGGATCCTACGAGGCCTTCCCAGTATAGACCCCTGCCCTTGTCCTCTGCCTGCCTTTTGTCTGGTAGGGAAAAAACCTTAGTCAAAGAAGAAATTTAATCAGAGAAGTGAGAAGATGCAGAGAGAAAGGAAACCAGTTCAAGCAAGACAAAATGCAGCCACTAAACAAAGTACCTCCTCTTTTGCCACAAGGGATATAGATAATACTCTGAGCCAAATCCTTTCAACTGTTTTGCAGCCACTGACACCCCCACCAGGTGGGAGAAGTTAACTGCGTGCTGCCCACAAGTATGTAGACCCCAGACCAGCTGGAACCAGAAGGTTGATGATGCTGACTCCAGATCCACCTCACCACCAGCCAATCAGGAGAAGGTCCTCGAGCTGATTACACCCCGACAGCCCCCTCCCTCTCCCTGTCTTTATAAATCTTGCCCTGAAAACCTTCAGGGAGGTTGGGTCTTTTAAGCATTAGCTGCCCTGAACTCTTTGCTTGGTGCCCTGCAATGAACATTGCCCTTTCCATCACCACAGCCTGGCGTCAGTAGATGGGGTTTACTGCACACAGGCAAGTGGACACTAATTTGGTTAGGTAACAGCGCCCTCAGAATGGGCCAGACTGGGGGGGCAGACCGTCTCTGTCTCCGGAGCCACAGGCAGGGGCCCCAACCTACACATACCTCGGTAGCTGAAGAAGCCTTTGGAGGCCTTCTCCTCAGATGGGGGGATCAGCGTCCCCACCAGGTAGTTGGCAAACGAGACCATGATGACGAGGAAGAAGAGCACCTGGGCCTGGGAGGAAAGGAACCTGGAGGTCAGACAGGCTGGCCCTGCCTGATCAGGGAGCCCCAGTGGGGAAGAGCTTGCCTAGGTCCCTCACTCCCATTCATTCGTTCAGTCAACACCTATTATGCTGCAGGCTCTGTTCTGGGAGCTGGCGATACAGCCAAGCTCCTGTCTTGCAGATAAATAAGGAAGATGAATCAGAGAATGAATGGGGGTGTCACGGGGGCTGGGTTGGGGCTCCTTTAGCAGCATGGCCTGGGAAGATGTCTTCAGGTTTTTTTGAGGAGGAGGATAAGGGGGCAGCAGCGCGACCAGAGCATTAGCTTGCTGCCTTCAAGGAACTGGGAGGAGACATGGAGCTGGAGGTCAGAGGGGGAAGGTGAGGACGGGATACAGGGCTGTGCTCGCCAAGCCTGCCACTGAGGCCCGACCTCTCTTCCCTCGTTTCTTGCTGAACCTCTGATCTGGGGCTGGGCACAGGTTCAGATGATGCCCACATTTGCCTAGGCCCCCTTGCAGTACGGTGTGGCTACGGACCGCATTCTGGCCAATGGGATATAAGCAGAAGGAATATGTATAACTGCCAGGCTGGGCCGGAAAAGTAAAAGGGGACAGGGATTTTCTCCTTCTCACCCCCTTTTCCCTTCCTGGGGCTTCCCTGGCGGTGCAGTGGTGAAAAATCTGCCTGCCAATGCAGGAGACACAAGATTCCATCCCTGGGATGCAAAGAGCCCTTGGAGGAGGAAATGGCTGCTGACTGGGCTGCGGACATGGAAGTGGGGGCTGTCATGGGCCAGGCAGATGAAGGCCACACTCCAGGGATGGAGAGGCCACAGGACGGAAGGAGCCTGGGTACCTGCCCCCCACACCCCCACCCTGGGGCCACATACATGAGAGAGAAACAAAAGACTCTGGCCTGAGGCCCTGTTCCTTGGGGTCTCTGTCACAGCAGCAGAGCTCAAGACCCAGCTGATACACACAAGAGGCGGAACCAGGAGCAGGTCCCAGGACTCAGGCTTCTGCACTTGACCTTGCCCAGTCCCCTCCCCAGCCTCCTGCCCTCACCTTGGACTCCCACTCCATGCCAGCAAGGGAGATGGCCAGCAGAACAGTGACGGTGACCACGCCGATGATGCGGATGTCATTGGTGGGGTCCACGATGGGCGAGCCATACTCCTGGAGGAGGGGACAGGCCAGGCTGCGTGCTATCTCTGCACAGCCCACCCCTCCAGGCTCCTCCACCTTGAGTTACCTCATTTATGGGTGTCTGCTCACGGGAACACACACACTCAACCCCCTTCCCTGCCAACAGGTCCTCTATAGCAAATACTGCATGGGCCTGGACAATTTGGCCCTAAAGGCAACACGCACCCTGGAAGGTGGTTTCTGGGAATAGTCTTTATTTGCCGAGATCATCATAGTCACCCACAGTGGTCAGACTGTGGCTTTGGTCCCTGATGGGAAGGCTGGGCAGAGAGAGGGGCAGGAAGGCCTGGCACAGATGGGGTGGGGGCAGAGGCAGCAGGCCACCCGGGCTCCCTCTGCCCAGGCTCCAGTTCTGGCCTCACCTGGAGCAGGTCCCGCACAGTCTCTGCGAAGCCCACAGTGTGCATGGCCACGCCCACGGCGTTGGCGAAAGCAAAAATGAGGCCGATGGAGCCGCCGAGCTCTGGGCCGAGACTCCGGGAGATGAGGAAGTAGGTGCCACCTGTAGGGGACAGAGCCAGGAGCCATGACACGAGAGGAACTGGCTGGCTGGGGTGGAATTGGGGTGGGCAGAGCTGAGGCTGGGAGGAGGTGAGCATGGGACCGAGTGGTCCATGGGGGAGGAGAGACCCAAGGCCACCCCGTGGGTGTGGAGAGACTGCCCAAAGCCTCCATCTGCAACCAGAAGAAGCATTCCGTTTGGGCTTGGGGTGGAGGGTAGGGAGTGGATGAGAGATCTGCCCCCAGGGTGAAGCCACAGGGTCCTACCAGAGGAGGATCTGGGGGCTGGGGTGGGGCCCACCTGACTTGACCTTGCCGTTGGTGGAGATGGCAGAGATGGAGAGGCCCGTGATGGAGGTCACGGTGACCGAGAGCAGGATGATGATCCAGGTCAGGACTGTAGGGGTGTGGGGGGGTGATCGCCCCAAAACGCAGTCAGAGCATTTCCAGAATGAGAAACCCGAGTCAGCCAACTGATTCACCGTGGGACTTAAGTCACTGTCCTTCTTTCTGTTCTCTTCTGAAAAATGGGTCTCTGTCTACCTCATGGTATACTCTGAAGAGCCAGGGAGCTGATAAACCAACGTGTAAAGGATCTTTACATATGCATGGGGAGGTATTTTTTTTTAATAATAAAAAATAAAGTAATAGTTACCTCTTGCTGAGCACCGCTGGGTGCCAAACTCTCTGCTGTTTTATGCACATCAGAGGAACAGTTATTGCCACGTTTTGCTAATGAGGAAACTAGGGCTCAAAGAGGTTAAAGGCTTGTCCAAGGTCACAGCATGCTACAGAACCAGCAGCTGCTCTTTCCTCAGTGAGAGATCCCAACCCAGAAACTCTGTGGGAGGAATTTGGCCCCCAGAGCTTGACTTCCTGAGGGCAAACTGAGCCAGGGAGAGCCCCCAGGCCTGCTGACCCCACATGCAGTGCCCCTGGACCACACTGCCCTGACCTCCGTCACTGCAGGGCCCCGTGGCTCCATAACCCGAGTTCAAGACTGGGAGGGCCGGGCCCCTTCCCCCGCACCCCAGAGGCAGCACTCACCAATGCCCGCCTGGGCGGTAATCCAGGGGAGCCGCAGGTAGAGAATCACACCCCAGATATTGAGCATGCAGCGGATCTGGGAGGAGAGGGGCGTCAGAGGCCACCTGGGGGCTGGGTACCCCAAGATCAAACACATACATCCCTGTCCCCAGTCATGGCATGGCATCGAGCACCTAGGGAACACCTGGGCTTTCTTTGCTTCACCCACTTGAGCGGGTGCCCACTTCAGTGCCTCTCTGGTTCTACGGGGCAGGGAGGGGAGGGGTACTCAGAGACTCACCTGTCCCTCCCACCACTCTCCTGCCTTCCTTCCATCGAGGCCTGAAGGTGGGCATCAAGTCTATCACCTCTCACCCCACTCCAAGCACAGGGTACTGTGTCTGCCGGCCCCAGTCATGGCCCAGTGGCCAACTGTTGGCCCACAACCTGGCATTTAGGGAGAACTCAGCAAATGCCAGCTGAGCTGATGCCCCACATACAAGCAGAAGTCAGGGCTTAGGTTGCTGTGACTTCAGCTTCCAAATTTAAAGCCAAACTGGAGACCACAGCTGAAGCTGGATTTCCCACGTGGGAGGGATGTGGTGGTCTTTGGAGTGGGACGGGTGGCAGTTACAAGTCCTGGAGATTTCTCTTTTCTTTTAGTCTTTAAAATGATTTAATTTAATAAAAAAAGTTGAGGTATAGTTGATTTACAATATTATATTAGTTTTGAGTGTACGACAGAGCGATCCAAAATTTTAGGCCCAAGAGATGGCGAAGGCCTCCATATGTGCTGAGGTACTGAATGGGGCCCACACCGGGCTGTGGGCACCAAGGGAGGGAAGGAGATCCAGACGCTGGATCAGAGGGAGGGGTGAGCATTCAGATGGAGAAAGGCACAGCCCGCAGGGAGTTGAAAGAGTTAAGGTCAGAATCTAGGCCTCCTGCCTCCCAGAGTGGGACTAAAGCTTTCTCCTAGCCCTCATGTGACCCCCTCTGTAAAGTCCCATAAAGTTTTTCAAAGTCAAGTTCATTAGACTGTTTGCTGTCTCAGGACCTAACACGGCAAACCATCTCCTCTTCGCGGAGAATGAGAGGAGCTGTGGATTTGTATTAGGTGCTGCCCTCTCGTGGCTCTTAGGGGATAACACAGTTTCTCCCAATAACTCCAAGGCAGGCATTGATTCATGTACCTTTATCTATTAATTGGTTAAATGCTGATCATTTCATAGATGAAGAAAGTGAGGCATGGACAGGTCACATGATGAGTGGAACAGTCAAACAGAGGTCCACCCCAGGGACAGGCCTCAGTCTGGGGGGTAAATAGAGGTCAGAACGCAAAAAGATAGAGAAAATCTGAGATGGCTATGCAGATGGGGAAACCGGGTCTTGGGTCTGTCTTGACCACTGCCTCTTGAGAGTCAGAGCTGAGCCTGCACGGAGCTCTGTCTCCCCAACCCCCATCCCTGGACATCCCATCCACTCACCATCACCCCTTTGACCCAGCCAAAGCGCACAGGCTCCTCAGGGTTCTTCTCGCCATTGGTACCTGCCTCATCCTCCACCAGCCCATCAGTCATCTCATGGCTGGGCCGGCTGTCAAAGGCGAGGGCATGCAGGTGGCTGCCTTCCTGCTGGGAGCCCAGAGACCACGGGTCAGGCAGGCCGGGGTCAGGACAATCCAGCTCCCCTAGCTCTCCATCCTCCACCATTCAGCCTCCAAGGCGGCAAACCTAGTAAGCCCCCTCTCTGCTGCAGACCTTCCCTACCCTTCTTTCCTCATCTCCTTTAGGTGTGTGAAACCTCTCTAAACTACTGGAAACTCATTACTTCATTGGGAAACCCTAGATTGCTTGACAGGGTTGCCAGACTGGGCAATAAACATTACACCATGTGCCCAGAGGTTTACAGCTCCCATGCCCACACTTCACATGGGCCTCTCAGCCCATGAGGAGGACCCCTCTGTGTCCCCACGACACAGATGACAGAGCTGAGGCTCAGAGATGTTAGGCAACCGGTGGAGGTCACACAGCAGGAAGGTCTGCTCTTCTGGGATGGTGTTTACCTTGAGGAAGGAGTGCAGGTCGGCCAGTGTGGGCCGGACCTTCCGGGGCTCGCCAGGCAGGGCGCTGTTGGCATAGTGCTCGTAGGCGGGCACCACATCAATAGTGTTGTAGCCAAAGGTGCGATTGTAGAAGGTGTTGCCGTGCGTCAGGTGGCTGGGGTGGCTGCTGTCAAAGGCGGCCGGTGGGGGGGGTTCTTCGCCCCCCAGCAACGTGCTGATGGTGAAGCGCCCACTGCACAGAGTGGGGTCCCTGGGCGTCTCCGACACTGGCAGCTCTGCCATCGTGGGCTCTGGGTGTCAGGGGAGGGGGCCAGGATCGGTGGGGACATGCAGGGTGGCTTTATAGGCTGGGCCCACAGTAGGGAGGAGACGGGGAGGTTGGCCCAAACCACCCACAGCTGGTCAGCAAGGTCCCTGGTCAGGGTGGGAGGCAGAGCACGTGCCCATTGCTGACCTGCCCACCATCTGATCGCAGAGATAGCAACTGGCCTTGGACTGGGAGCTGAGACTGGCCCAGCCCCTGGGTTCTAGGGAGGCTCTTCTAAGTCTGGGGCAGCAGACATCTGCAGCTGAATCCCAGGAAGGAGTGGACCCATAGGGACACTATGAGGGGCCCCACTGGGGACCCCAGAGAGCCTGAAGACCCTCTCAGAAACTTCTTGTGTCAGTGTTATTTACTTAGCATTTTGAATAGCTGAGTGGTATGACATTTAAAATGATGTGTGTGTGTGCCCAGTCACTTAATCGTGTCTGACTCTTTGCGACCCTGTGGACTATAGCCCACTAGGCTCCTCTGTTTATGGGATTTTCCAGGCAAGAATACTAGAATGGGTTGCATTTCCTACTTGAGAGGATATTCCCAACCCAGGGATCAAACCCACATCTCTTGACTCTCCTGCATTGGCAGGCAGATTCTTGACCACTGTGCAACCTGGGAAGCCCCATTTAAAACAATACACACACATATATATAAAAGGTTAGTCTCTCTTACTCAGACCCAAGTCCACTCTTACATGTCCTCCCAGAGGTATCTCAGAATGTTTATGCACTTATGTACCAGCAGCCCCAAGGAGAGTTCAGCAGGTACCAGCTGTGATCTGCAGTCACCAGGGGACCAATGAGCCCCTGGGGCTTGTGGCTGCCCAGTGGCCAGGAAGACAAGTGGACACCGACCCCACGCACACTGCTTACAGGGTCACTGGGGTGTGGAGCCCAAGGAGCCAGCCCAAGAGCAACGAGCTCCCACGGCAGGCAGTGGGCCGGGCGCCATCCTAGTATTGAGCCAGATCAGCCTCCAGTTGTGCCAGCATCCCTGAGGTCAGCCTTTGAATGCACAGTGGCCATGAGGGCATCAATCTGGTCACCAGAGACACTGAAGCCAAGGCAGGGTGGGGAGCTGAACTTTTGAGTCATAGGGGATGAAAGAGAAGTAGCTCAGAGTTTGAAGAGATGAGTTAGTGGGGTGGATGCCTGATGCTCTGCCAGAAAAGGAGGACACCCCCCCGCTGCTGGGAGGAGTCTCAGCATCTGCCCCTATGGGAATGGCCTTGCCTATGGCCGAGCTCCCCCATGGAGCTCTTGTCCAATGATGGGTGTGGGATGCAGAGGCCTGGTGCCCTGTCCCTGGTTCCAAAGGCCCACCCCAGCTCCAGAGGTCCCTGGGGTCAGCTAAGGCTTTGTCTACACAGCAGCCCGTTTCTCCTTTTTTCTGTCCTGCTGCATCTATTCTCCCAGTGCCAGCTGCCAGCAAGGTGAAGTCTCCGTGGTGAGGACTCCAGGGCCAGGGCTCCTGGCCAGTTTTCAACCTTCCTGGCAGCCCCCACCCCCACCATCTGCCAATTCCTCCTTCTCTCCCATGGGGCCTCAGGGCAGAGCTTACAGATCTTATCGGCCTCTCCATCTTTAACTGCCACTTGACTGGTGAAAATCACAGCCACCCAACACCCCCTCACACCGTGTCCTGGAGCAGCTGTGGAAAATTCCTGATTAAGATCTCAGGAGAGGAAGTGGCCAGATTCCAGCAGCACCCAGGCCCATGCCGAGTGAGGGGCCACCACTTTGCTGGGTGACCTTGAGCAAGCCACTTCCCCTCCCCTTCACCATTCCCAGGCCTGGGTGAACTGCAAGGTTCCTCCTAGCGCTGGAGCATTTGCTGTTTCAAGAAGCCTTCCCCATAGCCCTCCCCCATCCCTATATCTCTCTAGGGTGGGGTGGGATTTAAGCAGGACCCCTCGAAAGGCTTATCGGTCAGAGAATTGAAGGGACTGTCGGAACTCTGTGTCCCAAGGCACAGACCGCCCCCCCCCCCAAGAAAGGGACTTCCTGCCCTTGAGTGGGCGTCTATCACTTTGAGAAATGTTCACAGGGGCACTCTTCTTGATGGGGGCACAGCGTGGTCACACATGACTCCTGCCTTGCAAGAGTCTGAGACCTGGGGGAGGGAGTCGCAGGAACCCTGAGTGAAGCCCTGGGATGTGGCCCTTCTCCATTGTCGGTTGATCCAGGGCTCTGAGCAGGTCACCTGGTTTTGCTGAGTCTTTACTCCGTCAGTAGCCACATGGAAACGACACCGATGCTAGTGCCGCTCGTCCTCACTCAAGGGCCCCTGTCCTCTCCTGCTTCTGAGAGGAGGGAGCATAGGGGCAGTGAAGGAACAGAAAAGACTCACTGTTGGGAAATTTCCTGAAGTGGAAATTCTGGCCACAGGGGGCTGAAATGGTGAGGGCAGCAGGGCCTGTGTCTTTCACGGCCTCAGAGGCGCCTAAGTCTTTATGCACCAGAACTGGAGTTCACAGCCTAGGCCAGCAAATGAACCAGCAAGCAGATGGCAGCAACAGGCTGGTAGAACAGGGAGATTGCCCCGGAAGAGAGGGGAGCTGGGAAGGGAGGTGTAGGCAGGGACGGAGGGGTTCTGGGACATGGAACCCAGGAAGGCGTGATCGGTGGAAGGGACCAGACCGTGGGACTAGAGCTCACGGAACTGGGGGAAGGCGGAGGGGAGAAAGGGTGGTAGATGAGGCTGAAAGGGGTCCGATTATTTCTCCAGTCACACACATTTATTGAGTGCCTACTGCACACCATGCCACGTGCTAGGCAAAAGAGGTACCACAGGGAACAAGACAAAGGCCCTGCCCTCCTGGAGCTCACATTCTAGTGGGAGAGACAGACAAGCAGAAAACAAGCAATCGTTACAGTACATTCATTTGTTGTTGTTGTTGTTGTTTTTCTAAAGGAGGGGCATTTAGGCTTCTCTGAGAATGAGAAATTTGAGCTGAGCTCCAACAATAACGGGGAGCCACCCATAAGTGAGCAGATGTGAGCAGAGGGGTTCCAGGCAGAGGAGAGAGCATGTGCAAAGGCCCTGGGGGAGAGTGGTTGGGGCTTCAAGATTGCGAGGAGCCTAGGACGGTAGGAGCCAAGGGGCCGAGGAGATGGGTTTGAGACACAGAAGAGGGGACACCAGGCCTTATGAGCTGGGGTTAGAAGCTTCATGGTCTATTTTGTGATGGGCAGATTTATATTTCTCAAAGGTCACTTTGGCCATTGTGTGGAGACTGGATGTAGGGAAGCAGAGTTAGATCAGTGGGGCCACTGTGGGTACATGAAAGTGGTGGCTGGGCAGTGGCTGTGGATGACAAGGTCGTGAGAAGTACTGGGAGTTGAGATACAGGCTCAAGGCAGAGCCGACAGAACCAGCACATGGATTCATGGAGGAACAGGGAGGACTCTGGCGGGGAAAGGTGGTGTCATTTCTGAGTAGGGAAACCCAGTAAGAAGGGCTTGAATGCCAGGGTAGGAGCCTGGCCTTCGTCCTGGGGAAATCAGAGTTCATCTGCTTCTGAAAAGCTGGTGGGGGGCATAATGGTGTGTGAGCAGTGCCAGGAAAAAAAACAGGGCCAGGAAGAGCTGGGAGGGTCTATGGCGACAATCATGCAAGAACAGACAACTGCCCAGCTCTAAGCCCCTGACTGCACACACATTTCACAGTCTCACTGGAGCCTCTGACAGATGCTCAGTGTGTGGCCCCTACTAGGGATTCCATGGGCCTGGGGCCCAAAGCGGGTGAGGGGCTGGCATCAGTATTCTTGGAAAGCTCTCCAGGTGGTCCTGAGGGGCAGTCAGACTGAGATCCAGTGGGCTAAAGAAAACAATCTTTCACACACAGCCTGTCCGCCCCCACCCCACCCCCACGTCCACGTCCGCCTGGGTCCCACGAGGCTCGCCTGGAGAGGATGGGTATGATGCAACCCTGGTGTCGTGAAATAGCCGGGTAAGAGGATGCGCTGCTCGTCGGCCTGATTCACAACACCAGCTGCAGCAACGATACCAGAACTTGGCGCGCTTCCTCCTCTGGCCGGCGCTCCGAGGCTTCGAAGCAGCGATGACAGGCCCTGCAGACGCCCTCCCAGGCCCGCGGCTGCCCCGGGCCAGTGCTATGCAGAGGCCTGGGGCTGCCAACAAAGCAGGCTGGGTCCCTGCCCACCAGGGGGCGCACAGACTTGAGATGAGGAAGTGGGGAGCAGACACGCAAAACCCTGAATACAGTACAGAAGACAGAGCCACAGCGGAGGGGTCAGGCGCTAGAAAGGTCTGGAAGCCACAGGCTGACGGCAGCCTCTCCAGCCACCAGAACCAAGAAAACTGGGGTTTCTCTACCGTAATTCTGGGCTTTCTATCCAGACACTGTAACAGCAGTTGAACACTGAATTACATTGAAGCTACTGGCAGCTAAATAAAGCAAAAGGGAAACATGTTTGATGATTAAGGTAGTTTTGGTGCTGAAGAACAATTCCTGGTTCCTTTTTCTTCGTGGTTAGACTTACTTAAAAAAAAAAATCTATTTAGCCAACATTCACTCCACAAGTAATGGCAGGTATTAATGATGTATTAGACTCAGTCTAATATTTTGGAGGGTACACAGAGATACTGTTCTCAAGTATCATGTAGTTCATCAGAGGAGGTAACAGCCAGAACCCAAGACATAAAGGCATAAACCCCTGGATAAAACGCTACATGGCTTCATAGAAGGGATGCCGTCCTCAGGCTGAGGTGATGATGGAGGGGGACATATGAAGTAGCACAGTTAGAGATAAGCAATCATTTAAGGAGGGAGAGTGCCATGTTAGCCTGGAGCTTCCTGGCAGCCAAGGCAAAAAGTAGAACTATAATCAGTAGTCACTATCTGATAGAGTGAGATTTTATTTTCTCCCCTCTCTCTTTCCTCATAAAGAAAATAAATCTCCCTCAACCCATTATCCCGCCCCCCCACCACCCAAGCTTGGAAAAGTTCCCCAAACAAGGATGGCTTGAGCTCATTCCTGCTGCATCAACACAAACTGAAGCAGTGATTCTAATACAAACGTGGTCCTGTAGTCATATGCATATGACCACTAGGTCTTCAACCCAATGACTGCCAATGTGCTCTCCAAGAGACCAATCTCATTGTTTCTCCTACCAATAGCTTTTCACTTTTAAGCACATCTTTAGTTTTTCTTACTTTCCTATAAACCTTTGCACCTTTCTTAAAAGCAATAGAGACCACCCATGGTCATTGTGCTCAATCTTGAATTCCACGGGTACATTTCTAATCAGAATCCTCTTCAATGGTGTCTTCTGAAGCTTAGGAGTCTCTGACTTGATCCTGGAGCTGGGACTAGGGGCCCTAGAATCATGGAACCACTGTACAAGCTCAGCTTCCCCCACCCGCTCCCCCAAGCTGGGCCCAGCCATAGACTCATGGGGAGAGGGGGAAGGATAGGAGTCAAAGGAAGCCTGGACTACCTGGCTCTGCACCACCTACCTCACGGCCTCAGGCCTGTGCGCCTTAGTTTCATCATCTGTCAAATGGATAACTCTTCTCAGTCAATGAGTGTTTTGATGATCAAGAAAGGGAACTTGTGAAAGAAGCATTTCAGAAGACATTAATAAAGTTCTGCATGCATATATATATATATATATATATATATATATATTCTGCCCCCCACCCCTCCTCCAGCTCTTTAGCTACAACAAAGGTGGGGGAAAACCAACTCACCTTTGACTATTTAAGGCAATGCTTTTTGGTAAGGGCAGGTGCTAAAATTTATTAACAAACACAACAGGTCATTAGGAGGAGTTGGGGGGAAGAGGTGCTCAGGATCAGGAGGTGAAAACCCAAAGAGAGTTGGCTTTGGTGGTTTGCATTCATCAGAACTCAAGCTTCAACAGAGCAAACAGTCAGAGGAGCCAAGAAGCCCAGGGAGCCTCCCCTGTCATCTTGTTGCTCCTTTACCACAGACTTGAAATAAGCTACTGACCTCCTTAATATATATGCCAAAGGCTTTTCTGCGGGTGGTCACCCAGGGTTCAGAGGCAAGATGACACTTGCATCCAGGCTGGATCCAAGGAAGTCTGTTCTCCAGATGGGGTCCCTCAGGCCTGGTGCGGGTCCCCTGGGTATGGAGCCCCCCAGTAGGAAGTTTGAGGGCTGCATGTGGAGCGGGCCTCGGGTCCTCACTCCCTGGAAGCTGAGTTAGCAGCAGCTCTGAGCACATTGGACAGGCTCCTGGTGAGCCTGGGAAGGCTAGTGCCCGCCAGAGGTGGACACGGGAGGCTGGGGGCAGGGGAGGGGGACACTGGGAAAGAGAACCCTGGATGAGGGCCCAGGGATTCAACCAGAGCTATCCGAAGACGGTCTTTCACTTGTGCTTTTCTGGGAAATGGGATACTGCCGTCCCCTCTGACCCCTTCACCCCAACCACCCCACAGCCCCCCCACCCCTGCCCCACAATGATGCACTTCAACCGGTGCCATTTTTAATTGATGAACCACCAACATCAAGAACCACTCTGGACAACTGGCTTTGACATTGCTGGGTACACAGTGGGCTAGCTGACCCAAGGGGCCCTAGCTATGGTACATATTTTTCCTAACCAGTTAGTTTTCATCTCCCTGTTTAGTGCATCTCTGACACACTCTGACTTATTGATAGCCTTCCTTGAGGAGTGGGGAGGGGGAGTCCACATTTAGAGGGGCCCACAGGCCTACTTCACTCCCTGCTTCCAGTCAGAACAAAGGTCTTGACCCTCTTCTTGACTCAGGACATGAAAATCACCTGGGGAGCTTTAACAGCTCAATCAGTGCCTGGGCCCCTCCACAGACCAATTATGTCAGAAACTCAGGGGGCAGGGGCTTGGAAGTCAGTGTTTTTGAAAGCTCCCGAGGTGATTCTAATATTTAGCCAGGGTTGTGAATGGCAGTGCTGGGGCTGAAAGCCACAGAAAGTTGTGTTGACTAAGGCTGTGCACAGCACAAAATGTGGCTTTTCTTGATAAAGATAATGCTTATTTAGGGTTTCTTAAAAATAATCTTTCATGTTGTAAAAGGATTTTAAAATGTTTCCTTTTCCTGGGTAGATTCATGAATACATAAGTAGGCTATCAGCCCTTTACTTGGGTTCATTGCCTAAGACCAACAGACAGATGTACAGTTACTGATCTGTACAGGTAAGTGTGTGTCCCCCTATCAGACTCCCTCATCCCTCTGCCTGATGTACCACACACCCCAGGTACAAACCCCACGTACTCACCTCTTAGACAAGGTGGGTGTCCCACAATCAGGTTTCTGCTCCTCCAGGAAGGGCTGAACATGAGACCTGTGACCTCTGGTAGGTCTCCACCTGACTTCAGAACCCCTCAAGTCCCCTGAGTCCTGCTGTTTCCCCAGTCAAGGTCACAGGAGAGATTAACAGTAGCAGGAGATGCCGGGGCCCCAGGGGGAGCTGGAGTGGAGTTCATTGTTACCTTTCTGGGCTGGCAGGATGGCCACCCCCAACCATGCCGTCCCACCCCGTAGCCCCCACAGCTGTGGGTTTGGATCCTGGTCGTGCAGGTGGCTCCTGCATCCCCAAGCCACAGGCAACCCTGGCTCTGATCTCTTTGTTTGGCCCTTTCTTGTGGCATTTCCAAAAGGCTTCCTATTTTATTATGGTGTCTGTGTGTACACACACCTACCTCTCTTTCCCTAACCACAGCGTGAGATTATACAAGAGGGATTGTAAATCAGTCTCAAAAATCACCACATAGCTCTTAGCCCCAGGTCCCTGGTAGGTGCTAAAAGGCTTTAAGCTCTTCAGTTAGCATAGGGTGGGGGTGGGGAGTGGGGGCAGAAGAGGCCCTTTTATAGGAAGAGGCCCTTTGCTGTAGGTCTCACCTCAGTAAAAGGTAAGTTCCTTGAGGGCAGGGATGTCGGTTCATCTCAGCTCTCTGTCTCCAGCACCTAGAATAATGCCTGAAACAGCATAGATGCTCAAACATTTGTTGAATTGCATTATCCATTTAGCAGTCACTGAATCAATAGGAATCACAAGTTGAACTTGACATGCTGAGGTCTGTCCCCTAGTAGCAAATTTTTTGCTTACTAATTTTAACCCTGTCTTCTTGCCAAAAAAAAAAAAACCCACAAAAAACTATTACCAGGGTGGGGGTAATTGATTCCACCCTGCACCCATATGA